AACTCTCTCTCTCTCTCTCTCTCTCTCTCTCTCTCTCTCTCTCTCTCTCTCTCTCTCTCTCTCTCTCTCTCTCTCTCTCTCTCTCTCTCTCTCTCTCTCTCTCTCTCTCTCTCTCTCTCACTCTCTCACACACACTCACTCTCTCTCTCTTTCTCTCTCATCTCTCTCTCTCTCTTCTGAGTGGCGTCGGCTCAGCAGCTTGATCCTGCAGGACGGCTGCTAAAATCGGGACCGGCGTCCTTTGGGCCGGCGGGCCCGTTGCTACTTGAGGACATTCGTTCGTCTTTGCGTTCAATAAGAACCCATGCTGGTGCGTGTGAATGTGGATGCCAGGCAAGAGAGGCGCCAAGGTTGTCCGTTATCGAGCTCCCCTACCCCTGCCAACGGACCTCGTGACACCAATTTTGCTATGCTCCTGTCGACCTCTCGCTTACGCCCCTTTCCCATGGTCACGGACGAGCTTGCTTTAGGATTGATAGGATCCAGCAAGCCACCCTTCCCCTAGAGGCAACTCTCGCCCTCGTCAGCCTTCATGCCGAGCATCGACGACATGGCGGCATCCAGCAAGCGGTTCGTTACCAAGCAGCCATGACTTCTGATCTGCCCGCCACCCGCTCTCGGCTCGCCCAGGCCCTCAACCTTTTCTTGCCCTTGCCCCGTGTTCTAGATGCACGTTGGACTATGCTGGCGGTGGCATCGAGTTGGAAAAGCACATCTCGCCCACGAGCTTTGTTCGTTGCCCGCTTGCCGAACGCGCGCTGCCCCTATTCAGCTCATTCACGTCAATCCCGTGCTCCTCAGGCCATCGACACAAGCCACATCATACCTGAGCACATCTTGGGTTTTGATCGTGCCTATCGTATCCTCCGGTGCGAGCCTCTCTCTTCTCTCTCTCTCACTCTCTCTCGCTCTCTCTCTCTCTCTCTCCCTCCCTCTCCCTCCCTCTCTCTCCCCCTCTCTCCCTCTCCCTCCCTCTCTCTCCCTCTCTTTGACCTGCTCTATCGTCTCACGTTTCAATCACGGCTGGATCGACCGAGTGAGCTTCCACCTATCGCTACCTGTGTTTGCTGACACAGCCCCTTGTGTTGGTTGGTCATTGCCAGGTCCCTCAAAATTCAAGACAGTGATGTGCAATGGTCAAGGCTTGAAGCCGTTTTTTTGCTCTTGAAGAGCGACCTGGCGACCAATCCCACGCGGGACCTTGGAAAAGTCTTCACCACATTGAAGGTTCGCCCTAGTCAAAGCCAATTGCCGTGCCCAAATACCGGATGGTCCCCACCCAATTAACTGCCCTCGCCTGTTTTTTATTGTTTCTGGCCTTTTTTTTTTTCTTGGCCTGTTTTTTTTTTCTGGCTGATGGTGCACTCACCACCGGTGTGAACCACATGCGGCAGGCGGTCTTGCAGCGCTGCTCGGAAGAACTCGTTGAGGGTGCTCTCGAGCATCTGGCTGAGCTATTACCCCTGGTGCAAAAGGACTTTGTTTCGAGCACACTCTTCGCATTTGCCGTCGTACAATCCCGAGCTGTCGAGTCTGGTGCGAATCACACGACAGCTTCGGCCCCCTTGATCCCGTCCCTTTGATGTCCAGAGCTTTGTTCCACCGCGCCCCTGACAGTGACCATGCCTGGACCTAGCATTACGTGATGCCTATCGCGAATTTATCGTTGCCTGCGTGCCTCATCTCAATACGGAGGCAAGCAGCAAGAAAGCTATTGCCCTTGCCACGGAAAATGCCTGGTTGACCAATTTTGTCGAGGATCGCGTCTTTGCTGCCAAGTACGCCGCAGCATCTTTTGCAGTTTTGCGCGGATGCTGGCGGGCTCTTACTGCCGGTGCATGGTGTGCCTTAGACTTTTTGCAGCGTTGTCGCTCAAATTCCACCTCGACGAGACGGCCATGGATGTGATTCGAGGTTGGTTGGTCGGCCAACGCCTGCCTGTCAACCCAATCTCCGCCTCGCAGACGCGCGCGTCTAGGTATTGCGGGCCTTCAGCCTCAGTTCGAAACGCCTCACGTCCCGCCTCGCTCCTGGTTCAGGCTTGCTTGGAGACGAGGCCCCCATCGTGCGTGTTGCAGCCCTGAAAGCCATGGCCAACAGCATTGAGCATGATCTTGACCTTTTGACCGAGCAATCAATCCTAGACGCTCGCCTCATAGCCCTTTTGGACCGGATTCGGGTCAGCCCTCCCCTTGCCTGGCCCCATTGTCGTGGTTGTATGCACCGCTGATCACCAAAACAATCCTTTTCTACAACGCGGTACCCCCCGATCACAGGATGTACATCCTCTGGTACGGGCAACAGCTGTAAAAACATATGCGGTTCTTTTGGATACGCTGCCTGAAAGTAAGTGCGCTGCTCGCTCCTCAGATCACACCGCGCCATCACTTTTGGGCTCACAAAGATGGCACACTCCCCCTCACGCCTCGCAAACCCCTGACGCCAATTGTCGCTGGCGGTTTCCAGCAATTTGGGCTTTCACGCCTGAACGACTTCTTGGCTACTACACGCGTCCTGTCGAGAACGCTGTGCGTGAGACAAAGTCGACACCAGCCCCCGCTGACCGCCAACTGTCTATGGTCGCCCTGTCAGCTCACAGGCGTATTGATCGTTTTCACGTGCTCAGGACATCTTCTTAGAGGAAGGCGTTGAGGTCATTGGTCGTGTTTTTTATTACACCTATGGTTTGTGCAGCGCCTACCTCGCTTTGCTGATCAGTCTCAATGCCTCCGTCGCCCCGTGCTCATTTGGCTTCCTTCTGCCCCCGTCCTATTATGAATCCACAGCCAACGTTGCCTCGGCGGATCGGAAAAAGGTGTTAGAAGTCTTTGCAAAACTAGCACAGCACGGCAGCCATGCATCGGACACGGCATACTGGGCCGCACATAACTTTCCTGTGCGTGTACTTACCTGTCCCGACCTCCTTGTTCTGCCTTCTTCTTTTCTTCTTTTATTTTTTTCCCTTGTCCTTTCGACTTTTCGTGCGTGTATCCGTGCCTATATTCATGCCTGTGTCGACGATTGTGGCACATGTTTCGGGCCCTCACCACATCCATCGATCCAGGCCATGCTGTCTGCTTGCATCATTGACATGCGAGCTAGCCGTCAACCGGCCCATCACCCACTCCTACAATGCTTTCGAAGTCTGGTCAACTCCAACAATGTGGCTGTACGCCGGAAAATGGCTGCTTCTTTACCAGAAGTAAGAAAAGACCACGGCCGTGCCGCCTCATTGCCCCATGACACTTGTACTCACGTGAACTTTGGGGCTTGGACTATCTCAGGTCATTAATATGCTCAGGCCATCCCTTCTTAACACATCTAGTGTATTAGAATGTATCTGCCGTCTTATTGATGATGTCGACCTCGAGTACGCTCCGCACACCATGCCCTGCGGCCCATGACACGTGCCTCGCGTCAATCGCTACATAGCATGCTGTCCTACGCCTCATGCATCCCTGACATTGGGGCACGATTGCTCTTTGGGGCTACACTCATCAACGTGGGCCTGATTTGCCTGTGCAGGGTGTTGTCGCCCATTGCCCAGAATTTTGATCGCATCGTCCAATCCTTCGCCTGGAAACAGTACGATAAAGTTGCACTGGCCACTGTTTCGTCCTTCACGGGGGTACCGATTGATGCAAGCTGCCGGTGCTATGGCTCATGGCGTTGTCGTTGACTGTAGCTCCTCTCGGCCGGCAAGCTCGGATTCCAACCATGCTCATTCGGCAGCTATCAATGCCCATCACACGGTGGAAATGCCCATTGAGTTTCTCGTGTCCGTGAGCAAGAGCCTAGCTCGCATGCTACCTGCATGGCGCACGCTCAAGCGCATGGCTGAGCACTGCGAGGTGTGGGCGGGATTTGCTTGTGCCCGCCTCGCGTAGCTGGCATTGATTGTTCTCAACTCATCCTCCACGCTCTTGTACTTGTGTTGGCTGGGTGGTTGGGGTGCGTGCGTTGTATGGGAATGTCTGCGTAGCTGCTCGTGTCAAATTACACCAGCGTTCAGCTGTTTCATCATTTTGTACCCGCCATCGAACGCCTCTTTTTGCATGAGAGCCTTCCATCGAGCGTCGTCCCGGCTCTAGCCGATCTCTATTTCAGGGTCTTGCGCGTGTGTCGCTCACAGCGCCAGCGTCAGCACTCCACTGCATGGCTTCGTCATCATCTGGCGGAGCATGAATGCTGCTATCAGCGCATGCTCTTTGTCAACGTGGCCATGGAGGCAACACGACACTTTAGCATTGCTTTTTTCAAACAGCACTTTGTAGGCTCTTTGCTGTCCCTGGCATTGGATCCCGTGTTGAATGTGCGTCGATCTGCCATCCCACGGCTGCTGACCATCAAAAAACGACTTCGCCTGCCGCTGGACCGCGAGCTTGTTAAGCGGCTTGACACCGTGGCCGAGAACCTCCTTGACTGCCCGCCTATCACCAAGCATCCCAAGGTGAGCGACATGATTTGATTTGATTGGTTTTTGTTTCTGTGTTTCGTTTGTTTGGTTTTTTTTATGTTTTTTTTTTTGTGTTTTTTTTTTTTTTTTTTTTTTCCTTTCTCTTGCCGTTGGTCAGAAACCTGTTCGTATGTTCAATCACCTTTGATTTGCGCCTATGATTGCTGTTCCTAATTATAGGCTTGGAGCGCATATGCCCTGCCCTTTCAAGCTGAGCTTGATGCCTTTCAGGTCCCGATCTCTTGGGTATGTTCTTGACTGATGCGTGTTTTGGCGCAATGGTTGATTGCTTTGGTAACCTTTGCGCGGTCGACTGCCCTCACCTTTTGCCGCGATGTACGCTCAGGATGTGGACCAGCTGGTTGATGATGTGGCCGAAGAGAATGCACGGGAGCAAGATGAAGAAAGTGTAGCGCTGACTCATGAATCTCCGATTCCCGTGCACTCTGCGCGGCGACCGAAGGTCAGGCGGCTTGTAAACACGCGCGACCAAATTCACAGGCACACCATGCCTCACGCGGCTTGCTTTTAGAAATCATCCGTCCCCAACAATGGCAACCGGCGGAGCTCTCTCAACCCCATGGTGAGTGACGTCTTTTGCCTGCTGTGCAAGCATGCGTCGGCCTTACCTGTTGCTGGGGGTTTGCTTTTGTGCCTATGTTTGCTCGTTTCTTTTTTCTTTTTCTTTTTCTTTTTTTTTTTTTCTGTGCTTTTTTTTTTCTTTTCTTTTTTTTGCCAATTCTTCGGGCTAAAGCTTGCGCCTTACCACCACTTTTGCTTTTTGGCCGTGATAGGGTCAGGGCCGCGGAGAAGAGCGCATGCATCGATCTTCACAATCGTCAGAAGACGGTGAACCCCGAGGCAGTCCGCGCAGCAGGCCACGACGCAGTCACCATACAGTCCACGTGTCCAAGGCGGACCTGGCCTCGCGCAGCATGACGGCCATGCATACGCTGGCACCCTCTCCAGCTTGTGTATCTGATGTACCTTCACGGCCTCGCTCTTCCGAGGGGCGCACACGACAGCGTTCCGCGACCGTGGCTTCGGGGGATCAGCATCACAAGGCACGCACGCCTCGGCTCTTGCGTCAATCCACCGTCCGCAACCAGTCGCCCTTGAGCTCTGGGAGCTTGGGCAGCAGCCCCACCTCCAGCCGGTATGCAGGCCGCAACCGAGCCAGCTTTGATGATGCATGCCTTGACGAGTATCGCGAGACAACGACAACGCTGTCCCCTCGCAAGTATGTAGCCGGCGTGATGCAGAGCCAAGCCGTGTGCAGGGCAGAAGCTAATGAGGGGTCGAGTCCATCCTTGATCTCACAATCTCGTGCGCGGCATGTGGATAGGTCTACATCATCGTTGCGTGTCAATTCGTCACCGCGACGGCGTAGCGCCACGGAATCAGCCTCAACAGCGTCAACGCCACAACTTCAACTGCCTCGCCTCAAGCTAGCCTTTGTATGTAACATGTTTGGCGACGGTGGTGGGATAGCGGGGAAGCAGGGGGTGGTATTGGTGCACACACGCTGGCGGGCTCTGAACGTTGTCGTCATGCACTTGCTCATGCAAACACGTTTGTTTGTTCGTTTGTTTGTTTGCTTTTTGTTTCCATTGGTGCGTCTGTCTTTCACAGAAATAATTGTGTTGCTGCCAAGGCGTCCAAGGAAGCTTGATTCCCTCGCTCGTTTTACATATTTTTTTCATTTCCGTGTGCGTTTTTGCCCTCCTTCTCTCTGAGAACGGCTGACCGAGCTGCGCTTGGTCGGATGTTGGTTGGAGTTCAACATAACGTTTCAGTCTGATTGTGTTATTTTTTTTGTTTTGTGTTTTTTTTTGTTTTGGTGATCTTATGTTGTGGCCTGTTGGCTATAAGGCAGGGAGCCTGTATTTTTGCGCCTCTTTGGTCGTAAGCCGTGGCTCTCCTGGTGCCGACTTTTGCTACAGTCTTGTGAGCGCGGGAGGGCAACATCTTTTATCGGCGCTGGTCGCCCGTTCCTTGGCCTTTCCCGCCCGCGATGTGCCTTTGTTCTTTTTCCTTTCTTTCTTTTTTCTTTCTTTCTTTCTTTTTTTTTTTTGTTGATTCCTCAAACAGCCGAGTCTCCTTCGCCAAGGCTTGGCTCATTTATCAATCCATCCTTAATCCCTGGCTGAAACCACAGCAGCCAGCTGTGCTCGACTGCGCGGAACAAAGAGGAAGAGCTGCTGTGAGTCGCTTCGATGCAACTCTACACACAATTGGGTGTGGCGTCATGACGTCACGTGGTTGATAAAAGCAGCAAAAGCAGGACAAACCAAAAAAAAAAAACTCACATGTCAACTCAACTAAAACTACGGACAACAATGCGCGCAAGCCGCCGCCACACTCGTCAACTGGCTGTAGCTGCCAGCGCTGGTTCGCCTGGTTTGCCTGGTTCGCCAGCATGCTGGACCAACTTCAAGGCACTAGCTGGCAATCTTGCCTTGTTTTGGTTGGTATGGTCTGGGCACCCTTCATGTGGGGAAGGGCCCGCCACAGCCTGCTCGGACTGTTAGCGTCTTGTCTCGGCGTATTGCTCGCCTTTTCCTACTCATCTTTTTCCTCACGGCGCGAACGGCACAATAGTCAACGGCTAGCATTCCGCAGCCTGCCTTTGGTTCACATCGAGGGCCCAATGGTGGTTGTTGAGCAACCCCCAGTGTTGGCGGCCATGTAGCGTGTCCGCTTCGCCCTTGCAAAAAAGAGTGAGTCATGGTTTTCGCGGAGAAGCCACGCTGCATCACTCTTTCTCATGATCCCAAAACCTCAGGGTTTCTTTCCTTGAGATCTCTGTTGCAAGGGGGGGGGCAAGGTGAGGGTGCAGCCATTTTCCCCCAGAACACAACAGGATTCTGCCTCGCGCGAATGGTGCAGACAGGCTGTGGACTAGTTCGCCGCGTGAGCGCTAACTGATGAGCCCATGCATGTTCTTACCCGAGGAACATCCGTGCGAGTGAGGCGCCTGTACAACAAGACAAGAGTCAACGATTCTTCTGGCAGCTGCGCAACGGCATTTGTTTGCACTGCCAAAAACCACCATCGTCGTACTGGCTACCCCGTGGTCATCGTGTCGTCGCGAACATATGGGTGCTGATTATGCATCCACGCCCAACGCTTGCTCGGCCCTCAAATCGTGCTGGGTGCAAGCTGCAACCTGACTGCATAGCGCCGCCGTTGCACACACCGCCGGCCGATTGTCCGGGGCTGACAATAACGACGGCATGCGATCAGGTCACCTGATACCCCTCCTGGTACTACTTCTGTTGAACGGCGTGCGGGGCACTCGTTTACCCCGCCTCCTCTTCATCATCCCTTCAGGTATGACATCCTTGATGTCTACAAGAGGCTGGCATGTAGTGGCAACCGGAATGTCGAGCTCTTGTCTGCCCTTTGCGCTGCTCACGAAACGACAAAACGGGTGCTGATCTGCTTGTAGGCACACGCCCAGGAGATGCAGAACAACGTCAGGCCGTGCTCGACACCTGGGCTAAGAATCGTTCTGATGTCTTTTTTGTCACCAGCACCAAAGTTGAGGGCGGCGCCGTCCTTGACCTGCCGCCCGAAGCGGAAGAAGGAGGGTACATGCAGCTGCCGCGCAAGGTTCTACACTACCTCTTGCCGCGCGTGCACGCGCTCCACACCGAGCACCCCTTCGACTACCTGGTGAAGGTTGACCCTGATACTTACGTGAATGTCCCTCGTCTTGAAGAGGTATGCTCAGCTCCACTCCTGGCAGGTCAATTGCCATCAAGCCTGGCATAGCCACGGTCAGAATGACATTCATGTACCTCGCGTCTTGGCTGTGAACAGATGCTGGCAGATTTTGACCTTGAGATTCCACAATACTTGGGTCCGTTGCTCATTCCTATCCGCGCTTGTTTCATTAAAACCCTCACCGCAACAAGTTTCTGCCGTAAAAGGCTTCACTCATCGGTCACTTGTGGCGGGGTGGTTTGACAGGCTCAGTGCGGGCTTACCCAGATAACAGTCGCGGTGGAACGCTGTACGCCGAAAAGATTGTCACCTTCTGCCATGGTGGCTCTGGTGCGTCGGAGTTGATACTCGCCTTTATCCCTGGATGGTGCAAGCTACTCATCTAAAGTCACAATTGGCAACGCAGGCTACATTTTAAATTGGCGCATGCTTCAGACCATTGTACCATACCTGGATTACTGTCTCTCGTATGCCACCACACTTGACCACATTCTTTGTCGCTCGTTGCGTTTCAACACAAGACCCGTTGTTCTTTGCATGCGAACCCTCAAGTCAATATGCTCGCCTCGCATACACCGGCTTAGTGTTCCGCCAAGCGTGGACTCAACGGGCTGGGAGGATGTCAAACTTGGTGCTTGTATCTACGAGATTGTTGGACAGGTGACTTCGTTTTCTGTCATTCATTCCGATCAGCCCAGCCCGAGCCCAAACGCGTCAAATCAATATCTTAATATGGTTTTGCGTATTTTCCCCCTCGATTTGCGCATCTAACGCTGCTTCCCGGGTTCAGGAATGCGTGGACATCTTCCCGTTTGGCATAGACATGTTTCTCAATACGCAATCTGAGGAGGAAGCGTTTGACTTTCTCGCACGTTGGGAGAAGGAGAGCCCTGACCATTTTATTTTTGGCGTGACATACCACAAGGTTCGTCTGGAGGCAACCCAACCTGCCTGTATGGACCTTGCTTGCGACACCATGGCCAGAATCACACCGTCTCACGCAAAACCTTTGCTCCCATAGGTACCCACGCCGAAATCCATGCATGCACTTCATGTGAAGGTTGCCAAGTTCAGCGTCAGACGCGACATCGCCACCAAAGCCTGGTGAGAGAGTAACTCTGCTGCTTGACCGTCGCAAATCTAGCACTTCAATGGGATGGCAGCGACACTGCATGGACCCGGCTGGTTGTATTTCGCCTTACATTGTGCTCATTCGACTTGATGGTCAACGTCATGTCACAGGCGCCACGTGGCCACGGCACGGCACCAGGCCTCCGAACGGCCTGTGCGTTACAATTGTTCAACCCCATCCATCGAGGCCATGTGCTACCAGGCGAGCCAGCAGCATCCTTCTCGACCCGCCGAGCTTGCAGTGCAAGTCAAAACCCAAACAGATGACTTGGTGTGGCCCCTCCCACGCTCTGAGGGACATTGTCGAGGCCTACCGGATTTGGATGAACTGAGCGCCTTTGATCGTCTCGTATTGCTCTTTGTGGACCAGCGCCCTGAATCGCGAGACGTGGCCCACCCGGCCACCATGGCCATTGAGCAGCTGGCTGCTGTTCATCGAGGCCGTGTTGCCATTTTACTCATGACCCCTTTCGACCCCACAATTGCGTGCCAAGCGGAACCGCCGGCATCAGTGCAAGTCTATGCCTTTGAGTACTCACAAAACGTACTCGATGCAAAAGAACACGTGCGCGTGCCGTGGGAATTTGTCGTCGTGCGCACAATTTTGGAGCAATGGGTTGTTGGCCACGATGCAGCGGATGTGCTTGTGGTACGCAGCCAGGCTCTCAATTTCAAAGTGGGTGACACCAGTGCAACGCCCCGTTAGATCCCCGGTATTCTTTTTTTTTTTTTTTTTTTTTTGACCACATTGATGAAGCGGCTACACGTAGCCACAGTGCTGTCACTTCCAAACTCATCGGAGCTGGCCATGATATTTCACGCTTAGAGTAAATGGCCAAGTATGCTGCTGGCTCGACAAAACTGGACAGGCGTCACCTTCTTCGCGCGCCCTCTTTGGAAACCCGACTTGAGCAGTGCGTTGTTGTGGTGACATGAGCTACCCTGACTTGCCCACCACCGCGTTTTTTTTTTTTCGCCCATGTCTGTTCTCCTAGTATTTTTCGCCCGTTTCGTCCTCTGCGTCTGATCACGGGCATCACCATATTGCTGTAGAGAAGGAATACATTAAATATCGCGGCGAATGCCCGTACGTACCTTCAACCAGGATTCAACGCGCTGCGTTGAAGCATCAGAACTTTTTGTTGCAGGAAGAGGCAAACTGGCTCACAGTGTTTTTCCAGGTCGCTGGACTGGGAGTATAGGGATGAAGGGTTTCGCCTACCAGCCGTAGCGTTGATTTCCTGGCTGCATGCCTCAAGCGTGGACAAGGTTCGTTGCTGAACGGAATGGCAGATATGTGTCTGGCCCAAGACGTTGCAAGCAAACGCTGTTCCATCAGTTTGGCGGCCAACTGATTTTTCCATCACCTCTGCTCTTCCGTCAGGCGCGACAAACATTTCAAGTTCTGGCTGATTTTACTCAGCAGAGCACAGAGACTTGCAAAGGACAGCATCTCTTCCAGAGGCGAGTCGGGTTTGAGGAGTGGAGGTGCTATGCTCCAACCTTGTAGCAGCACTAGTCCAATGGTTCTGATGCTTGCCTGTGCTATGATGGACCGCAGGTGTATTTTCGGTGGTCCGCTTGGAGCGGTTGTTCCAACACGTGTTGTTAAGTTTGGCTGAGCACCGATTTGCAGCCGCGGACGACATGATGCGCCGTATGCTGCATGAAAGCCAGGAGATCGGGTCAAACATTCGCGTCAAAGTGCTGCTCACATGCGCCTGCTGCAAGTGGCTAATGGAATCGAATCTGAGTTTTAACCTGAACCAAGCAATTTTTTACATGATAGACGAGGATCAAATTCCTATGCACCTCCACTGGGTATCAACGCGCAGCACGCGCTGTTTGCCAGTGTTACAAGAACCAATCTACATGCTTCAAGTCTAAGAATAAATCTCATCGAAAATAGAAACATCCGCAAGCAGAATGCGTCATGAGAGCGGGGTGTCAAGGTCAGCCGCCATGATCAGACCCGTGGGCTCATGAATTGCCAGGGCATGCCGGCCATCCACGGCATAGAGGCGTAATTCCTAATTTGAAGCGTGGGGTGAACAATGGGCGCCGAATTGGAAGGTGCTCGGGCACGACGCCGCCTGGTCTCACCTCCGTCATTTTGAAGAAACGGACGCTGTCGAGCGTACGGACCCGCCAAAGTGCCGAGCCAAGCCGTTCCTATTGGTAGGTATCCCACAACAACGTGAGAGTGCAAAAGTAGGATTGAGCTTGGCCTATGTTCTATGGTTGCTGCGCTTCCTGATAATGCTTGCCGCAACGTACGACGACTCGGGTGGGGTGGGATGCAACCAGGCGTTGGCGAACTGGGTGATGGAAAATGACCAATGCCGAGTCGGCATCCAAGACATCCGCCAGGCCTTTCTGCAAGAGGTCGTCGCGACGCAGCTGGCCCACCGGCCAAGGTGAAGTTGCAGCAGTGGAGGCCAGAGGGGGATGAAAGAAGACCTCGCTGCTGGATCCACACGCTAAAATTCGATCTCCGGCCAGCGCAAGCACCTCGGGGTGTGGCACGCCCAAGACAATGGCGCTCAGCTGCAGTGGGATTGGACATCAACAAGAAATGGCTGTCAGACACTCGCCGCCTGAAGAGTGGGCGTGCGCACATTGACTCGATTACACAGTTTGCGCGTTTGGTTTTTGAGTATCTGCATCTGAACTCTACCTTGTAGACCCGTCGACAATTGCACAGCATGAGGCTGCCCGTCGTGAGTAGCAGGGCCATGTTCGTGTCATGCACAGCAACAGCATCTATTTAACGCGGGGCGCTCGCTCATGAGAGTTGGTCGTCAAGGCGAGACGAGACAATAGCAGCCATCGCAAAGTCTGGCAGCGTACCCACGACCGCGGCACCAGCGTGGATGTCTTGAATGCGACCAGCTGCAAGATCATAGACCTTGACGAGACCGTGGCCGGGACGATGGGCCGCAGCAAATTGTGGGTGGTGAGTGAAGACGGGCCGCCAGGAGGTGCCACTGGGCAGGAGGGGTCCTACAATGGCCATGGTGGGGCCCAACCGCGAGGCTTTCGGCTGCTTCTGGATCCAGGGCTGCAGCTCTTGGTGTCCAGGTGCAAAGGCAGCTCGGTCTTCGCCAGTAGTCACAAAGGCAGCTCCGTGTGTGGCCAAGAGGCAGCGCACAAACTGAGTGTCATTGAGTCGACCGTCGATGATCAGGCGGGTCAGCGGTGAGGGAAAGCGCGCCAACTCTCCCGTCTGCGTGGCGAGGCGGGCAATCCAAATGCCCAGGGAGGACGTGATGGCGAGCACGAGTTCGCTCCCGGGCTCGGCATTGACGGACACATGACTTAGGCCATGGTGCTGGTGTGCGGTGGTTGTTGAGGACCACGGCACACGGGCGAGGAGGCGCGGACGGGTATTGGAGGGCTCAAAGCGCCAGGCCACCAACTCAAGGGAGGTCGGAGGCGGGGCGGTCTCATCGGGGCGACTCGTGGTGACCAAGGCGAGCAGGGTGCTACTAGGGGCGTCTACGGATAGCAGTACGGGGCTTGTGTCGGCTAGCGTTTCCCAGCCTACAGCCACACCAGCCAGAGTGAAGGGGCAGGGGCAGCAGAGGACGTCATCAACGGATGAGTATCCCGATGAAGCGTGAGCGAGTGGGCATGGTGGCAGTAGCGAGGGCGGTGGGTCGGTAGGCCGGCAGCTCGAACCAAAGTCACGAAGCTCGGCCACGGGTGCCCGAGCAAGAGCCTGGCGGTGTTGTGCTCGCTGCGGACAATATGATGGCAGGTATGGCAAGCAGGACGCCAGGTGAGAAGCAAGGCGGCTACGGCGTGTGTGGGGCAGTTTGGCGCGGCGTTGGGCAAGTGCGTCAAGCAGGCTTGATGGGACATTGGGTCAAGTGGTGCAAACTGTGCAGAGGAGTTTCGAGTATCCCCGAATGTCGAGATTGGGTGTGCGAGTGGGCCATTTGTCCCGTGATTATGGGTATGTGTGGGAAAAGGACGCGGAGCAAGAAAAGGGATGGCCGGCCTTGTGGTTCACGAAGCCCAAGGCAAGAGGAAGCGAGGATGACTCACGCTCACGGCTTGATCAACCATTTCCTCGACGAGGCGCCGAAGAAATCGGAATGGCTGTGGCCAAAGCGGCCGTGGCAAGGGTGGCACGGCGGCCATGTTTCGCTATTCTTGTCCAAGCCAGCTCATGCATGAGATAGAACCATGTCCCGTGGGGCAAGTGGACCAGTTGCAGCCCCAGAATGTCTAGAAGGCAGCCACATCCTTCCTCGCTGCCATCACGCCCCCCGTTTTCAATTCAAAAAAAAAAAAAAAAATTAAAATTTCGCTTGTCAAGAACAGAAACGTCTGACAATTATCAAGATTTGTGTCCTCGCAGAGACTGACCAAATCTGGGCAGAGACTGCATGGGCCGCGGTTACGTGTGTATGTGTGTGTGGTTGTGTGATGATTGGAAAGTGTAACGCTAATCACAGTACGGTAGCGGTGGTGGTGCGCGCGAGCTGGTGATGGCCGGTCGCGCATGCGCAAGTCGTGGTGAGTCGGGGTCAGCGCTCGCGCTGACGGGACCGGTCAAACAGACAGACTGGCTGCCCTTTGTATGGGTGCCCGCATGCACGGTCCCAATGGTTGACTGATCGAATTGATTCTGTTTTGACAGACCGAACAGGTGTTGGTATGGTGTGATGGTCATCACAGCCCCCCCGGCGGCAGCTATGGAAAAAAGCAGACTGGTGGTGCAGTGTTTGTGCACACCCCCATAGGAAGCCGAAGCCGCTTGGTTGATGATGCCGATGATGATGATGATGATGATGATGGCGCGTCGAGTTTTACACACTGGTCCTGGTCAGCCATCACAAATCACAGGTTGACTGTCTGTACCCAATCGAGCCGCACGGGCAGAAAAAGTAGGGCCTGCCGTCTCGGTTGAGGACGTTGTCCCTGCGTCGTTGATGATGGTGGCGAGCGACATCAATGGCACGCCACCACCATCCATCCATTGCCAAAAGTCCGAAAAAAAAAATCCAAAAAACAAAAGTGCTCTCTGCTTGACGTGTCCTCGTCTTCCAAAATTCTTTTGTTTTGTTGATGTTTGCTCTCATCATGTGTGTGTGTGTGTGTGTGTGTGTGTGTTGTTTCGAGTACGCTGTATAGCATGCAGATGCAGAGATGTTGAGGTGCAGCTGCAGATGCGGGTGCGGGTGCGGGTGCGGGTGCGGGGGGTGTGGGTGTGCAACCTCCATCAGGTCGGGATGGGGGCTGCATTTACCAGTATCCTCTCCGCTCACCACATCTTGTACACCGTGAAAACTACATTGTCCTTGCCCACCCTTGACGCTCACTTGACACCTTTCCCTCGGGTCAGGCTTTTGTGGTTAAATTTGCTAGCCACCTGCGTCGCCTGGCGTCGACCTCCAGTCTTCCTCGCTCGCGGTGCCATTTGACGAGCCAAAGTCCCCTGTCGTCTCCTCCACACCTACACATTTGCCTGCCAATCCTCTCCGTGTGCACATTCACACCTCAAGGTGTCAAATCCACCCCAAACTTCACCATCGAGCCGTGTGCCATCCGCTGCCGCGACGGCCATTTTTTCTGCATTCGACTTCCCGTCCGCGCGACCCAGTACTCTGCTGACGCCTTGATCCGCTTTGATCAAGGCCCGCCTTTTCCTCAAAGAACACGACCGATCTACCATCACCTTCGTCGTGTGCTGTCCCCCGCACAGGCATCATCCCCATCTCTGATATCTCCCCCGGCTGTCGCTTCGTCCACTTCAGCACTTTGCCAGACGCCTCTTCAACCCTTGATATATTTTACCTCTTTTCATCAGGCCTCCGCAGAGCTGCAGCATAGCCACGTCACCCGCACATTCCACCAGGCGTCACCGCCACCATCAATCGCGCCGAGAACACTGGCCCCCGCCCACCGGCACCAATCGGCACAACGGCAGCTCAAACCTTGTCCCGCGTGGAGGGCCGGTCCCCCACACCAAACTGCAACATGAACGCGCTTGACATTCAGCGCTTTTCCCAAAAGAAGAAAATGTACGAGCATCAGCACACCCTGGATAAGCTCTTTGCGCCCGCTCACGCTCGTGGCAGCACAGAAGATAATCTGTCACGCCACCGCGAAGCCAACTTTATTGACCAGGGCCCGTTGATCGGCGAGTGCCGTCATCGTTCTGGCTCCATTTCAGACCTTGGCCCCAGCCAACCACCGTCGCCCCGCAAACAAACACCGCCCATGAGTGGCGCCAACGCTCTGAGTCTCTTGGGTGGAGGCAGTGCTGCCACGCCCGCTGCACCTGCCGAACGGCCTGACGCCCCAGGCTCCAAGTCACATGCAGCTGCCGGACTCGAGCAGGATGCGACTTCAGAATCATTACTCATGCACCGTCGGCGCACCATCCACCCGCGTCGCCAACGAGCACCTCTGCGCCCCCACTTGGACGGCCGCACACGCCGTCGCAGTGAATCCGAGCCCGTCAAACATACGCGGCTCTCACCCATCATGGAAGAGGCTGAAGAAGAGGGTACGTGATCTTGACTTGCTTGATCTGAGCAGCTATCTTCTGCGCTCTTGGACTTGGCATTGCTTCGATTACCTGTTGTGTTTTTTTTTGTTTTTGCGTCGTCTCCCAGCTCATGCGTGTACCGGTTTCTCTGGTTAACGATGTGTAGAAGTGTCTCGTCCACGAGCCAACACCCGTGCTTGAGCACTGGCTGACCTCAACCCACCCTGGGATTGTGAAAGTGTCTTAATTATCCGTTTTTTTTTAACCGTTTTGTGTCTGTACGTGCGGGCGTGGCCTTGTGGCCCCTGTTGTGGCGCAGAGTAGCTGTGGACGCTGGTTTGGTTTGCACCAAATTGGCAAGCTACTGGCAAGCCCATTCATTTTGCTTATTTTAGTTTCTTATTTGCCCTGCACATCTCGTTTCGTTGCGTTTGTGGCACGCTCATCCGAGTGGCTCCCTCGAGTCGAGCAGAGATTCTGACGACAAGGGCGCCTGCCTCTTCCACCGAGTGGACCTATTTTCTTCCTTGCGATCGCCCTTTGTTCTTGCTGCTTTCGAGCCTGATGTCATGCCTGTCTGTCCATCAATGTGCTCAAGTCCCTTTTATTTTCGGTTGTTTGTCTGTTTGTTTGTTTGTTTGTTGCCAGCTGAGGTGTGCCCACCCGCCGTTGTGGTTGCTGCTTGCTCCACCAATGAATTGGCACCGCCTCTTCTTCATACATGACTGGCTTGAATAAATGCCGTCTGATGCATTTGCTGTTGAGTGGCCAAACCGTAGCCTGGCAGTTGAATCCCTGCAGGCCTACCATATTCCAATCGAATCTCCGCAAAGATCATCCACCAACTTGATCCGACCGATAAAAGCACTCGTGAATTGTCATGTCAACAGCGTGACATTTCCTTTTTTTTTTTTTTCCTTCTTCTTCTGTCTGTCTCATAGATTCAGCGGCCTGCCCGCCAAATCAATGGACAAGCTGTCCCCTGCCACATCTGAAGCAGTCCCGCTGCTGCCTGTATTGGTGTGGCACAGAGTGTAGTTCATTAGCGTCATGGCCGGCACCGGGTTGCAACTCGCCGAGCTTGCCACACCGTTTGCCAGTGTGGATCTACACAAGGTGCAGGCCAATGTCCATCGCATGCAAGCCCGAGCCAACCAGCTTGGTGTGCGCTTACGCCCCCACTACAAAACTCACAAAACGCGACAAGGTCTGTCTTGCGCTGCCGAGAAGGACGCGATCAAGTCTCTGTGTGGGCCAAGGCAAAAACAATGACGCGCCTGCCACGCGTTGTTTGATAGGAGCGAGCCTACAGCTGGCTGCACAAGATCAACCCGGTATCACCGTGTCGACTTTGGAAGAGGCTCGGCATGTTCAAGCCGTGGTTTCAGACGTGCTCTTCGCTGGCTACCCCACCGAGGCCAAGGTCAAGGAGATCCTGGCTCTGACCGAGTCTCTGGCGGCCTTTGGAATTTTAGTTGCGTGCTCTGCCCACCTGAACGTCCTCTTCAGAGGCTTGCGTTTAGCCTCTCCACCCCCGGGCCGACCTTTGGGAGTTTGGCTGGACGTGGACAGCGGATACCATCGCTCAGGACTTGGTACAGATGCCGACGCTGCTGTCACGGCCCTAGAGCTAGTTCGCTGCATCAACCAGCACCCAGGGCTCACTTTCTGTGGTCGGTCATGCCGTGCACCTGGCAGCAGAGGCCCACTGGGCTGTCTGTCAGCCCCCCTCAAACGTGCGCTTGCTCTCTCTCTCTCTCTCTTTCTCTCGCGCCTCACTCCAAGCGTGATCTGCCGTCTTGAACACAGGTCTTTACACACACGCGGGGCATAGCTACGCCGCCCGAGGTGTCAGCGAGATTCAAGCCATTGCTCGACAAGAGCGTGATGCACTTTGTACCCTAGCCACTTACCTTCGCACAGAGCACATGACCGTAGCAGCAACGGCCGTGGGCTCTACGCCCACATGCAGCCAACCACCCCCTGAGGGTCTCGATGGCATAACTGAGATGCACCCCGGCAACTACATCTTTTACGGTACCTAGCCCATCACTCGCTTAGCCGCCCCTCCGGCTTGACCCCTTGCGCTGTTTTTGAAGATGCCCTCGTGCCACGTCGCTGCAGACGTCATGCAGGCGCACATTGGGGCGTGCCGTCTTGAGGATGTGGCCATCCAGGTGCACATGACCATTACTGCAGTTCAGAGGGATCGTCTGCTTGTGGGTATGTCACAGGTGTAGGCCTAGCTAGACCTGTCCCTTTCCCAAACGTTTCGGATTCGAGACCTTGATAACCCTCTTTGATTGTGTCCTCAGATGCGGGCTGGACGGCTTTCAGTGCACAAGGTGCAGGTACGCTGTCTTGCTAAAAACGTGTCCTGTCTAGCCTTAAAACGATCGTGGCGCAATGTTAACACCTGCCAACTGTTCCCCCAACAACCAGAGGAAGGCTTTGGCGCGTTTATCGATCATCCGACGCTGCGGTGGGTCAAATGCTACTTCTACACTTGAAGGACCATGAATGGTCGTCTAACCAAATGGGGTCCGCAAGCAGGCTTCTGCGCGTGTCTCAAGAGAGCAGCGTTGTCGTGGCTCAGCCCGAGTGTGATTTGACCGAGTCCTTTGCTGTTGGCCAACGTCTGCGCCTTTTGCCGTGGCATGTGAGTTTTCAATATGTGCGCACGGTCCTTGCCGTACCCACGCGTGCGCTTGTTCACGCGTCAAACGTGTGTGTACCCAGTCCTGTACCATTGCAGCGCTGCATCCCCAGCTTTTTGTCACTCAAGACCAAACCACTGTCCTCGAGGTTTGTCTCTTGATCCGTCGTACCCCGCGCCCTTCCTTGCTACTAATCGCTCATCAAGACTGTGGCTCAAGCAGACTTGGGAGCCCTGCCGTGGATGGTGATACATCAACCTTTCTCCCACTGACGCACATCCGATCAGACTTGCTGAATGTGAATGTGAATGATGCGCGATCCATTTCTTGCAAGGTCAAAACAACAAAATTTAATCCATCTTTCTTTGACAAAAGCTCGTGCTGACAATTCCATGCCGTCTTGAGCTGTTCACACACACACACACACACACACACACATTCATTGATGACCAAGCTGTGGTGGTACACACCTTAAACGATATACGGGCTGCCATCAGGGGCAGCCCATAGGGATGGAGAGCTTGGTGTGGCGATTTGACTAGACGCTGCTGTGTAGATGGACCTTCCCGTGTTGCCCATTGCTTTGCGTACTCTCGCGTGAAGCGAGCGTGAGCACGGGCCATCGCCGTACTGTCACCACCATGCAGCGCAACGTCGGCCCTCGCCCGACCAAGCGGCAGCCGACGCTTCGACCTTTCTTCAGAAGGCAAGAGCCACGTGTTCCCGTGGCAACGTGGCAGCTCGAGCTTCGCAATGTGGTCAGTCCCGGCTCTTTGATTGCCTGTGTCCCCCCTCTGCCACGAATACTGCTGCTGCTGCTGCTGCTGCTGCTGCTGCTGCTGCTGCTGCTGCCTTTGCCTCATGCTTTTAAATTCTGCCAACGTGCGGACAGCCTCGCACCTGGAGCCGCGCAGCTGTTGCTGCCTTCTTGGAAACGCGGCAAACTTTGACCTTGAATCCGCAAAGACAAACACCTTCGCTGACAACCTGGCGCGCCACTTTTGCACGCCAGAATCAGGTGGCCATGTCAAGCCTTCCCGCCTTGATTTATTTTTCCCAGGCCGCTCTGAGCCACCGCTCACCGCGCCTACTACCTCGGCCCCGTGTCCACCAGGCCTGTCAGGCGGCTTGTCGTGTGGCTTACACATACATTCAAGATCAGCTCATTGCCGTGCGCTTGCAACGGTGCGTCAAGCAGTAATCCTCCCCATCTTGCATCCGCCGCAACACGCGGCTAACTGCATCCCGCCTCTTCTGTAGCATACCAGAAGCAGACGAAAGCCTGGCGCCGCGGCTGCGCATTGATAATGTAGCCTGCTCTGTGGACTATCATCATGAGCTCTACTTGATCGCGTTTGAATTTGGCACTATTCTCGAGTGCGTGAAACCCCTCAACGTGTTGTTCGAGAAGGGTCGGAATGTGGCTGATGGGCGGGCGGGTGTCGCAGTGCTCCTTGTCGTCAGACAGGGCGACCGCTGTTGCTGATGGTGATTATTGGTGTTGCTCACTGCTCGCTGCGTGGACTCTTCCTCTTTGGCCTTTTTCATCGGTGTCAGATGTCAGTTTGAGCCTCCCAACCAGACAGGCACGGCTGCTTGTGTGGTCACCTACTTGCCTCCGACTGACATCGTGCATGCAGCAGCCGGCATCTCGCAGATTCATCTCAATGGTTGTGTGAGTCCTTGACCAATCAGTCATGAACCTTTCCCACCATTGGCACCTCTCTCCCCGCATTCAAAGAGGCATCTTCGCGCAACTCAAACCCAGAATTTCCCCTTTTCTTTTATGAATCGTGTGTAAACAATGACCATTGTGCGGACCCATGCACATATGTGAAGCAACTTCGCGCAATAATTCAGCATCGCAGGTCTGTCTCTGCCATGGCATCAGTCTTATTTGCCCTGGATGTTCACTGGCTAACAACACACATGATTATGTAGAGTTCCGGAAGCCAATGCCACGGCGGTGCGCGCTGCCCTCTTGCTCAGTGGCAAATAGAGCACTGGCCTTACCAAGACCTGCCCTGATTTATTTCCAGGTCTAATCGACGAATTGCCGCTGCTCGCTTTCTTCACATAGAACAAAGCGCGCGCGCCTGCCGCCATTGCCATACCCTCGACTGTGCGTGGACCTGTATCAAGCTCGCCCCCGCCTTTTCCAGAGGTCGATGCAACCCCTCAACAGCCTCCTACAAAGGTTGAGCGAGTTGCTTCCACCCTGCGCAGCAGCTCAGCCCCTGCTGATGCACCCATCGTCACCCGGATCGAACCTCCTAGCGAGCCTGCCCCCCACGCCGTGGCTCTCACTAGTCAGCCACCTATTCCTCGCAAGGTGGCTCCGGTGAGGGATGAAGAGCCCCCTCGTAAGCGAACAGCATTTGAAGCATCTGCGCAGCGCAAGACCATGCTGCTTGATGCCTGGCCCCAAGTTAGCTCGCAACGCATCACCAAGCCAGCCTCGACTCAGCCTCAGCACCGCAAGCTGAATGAGGATCTACGCGCCGCTCCTACGCCAGATCCTGTTCCAGGCCCCATGCTGAGGGTGATTGGGCCTGTTCAAGATGCTGCTGTCCAGACCACTGCCCCACCTGCGTGCCTGGATGCCAGCTCCCAGGTTGCTCCGATTGAGACAAACCACGTCGCGACGCAACACATAGGCACCATCACCCAAGACGCCGCATCTCAGACTGCAACCATCCCACCCATCCTTGATCAAGGCGTACAGGCAAGCGTCACGCAGAAAACGGCGTCAATCCAGGCCACCTCTACCGCACGCCACGCCAAGACCCAAACTCGCCCCCTTCACGCAGACATGACTACCCTATTGTCCAAGACCTGCAGTCGCGAACAACCTTGGGCTCTCTCAACGCATCGTCTGGCGGGCCAGCCCGCTATGGATGCGCGCGGTGCAACCTTTCTCGCCTGTGGAGCATGTCAACGCAAGGACAAACTTCAGACCTGTCCACGATGTGGGCTTGTGATTTGCCGTTCTTGCCACACCCGCCTACTAAGCTTTCAAGGTATGGGACTCGCTTGCTTCCTGTCTTCTTTTCCCCCCACTTATTTGCCGCTTATTGCACTGGCAGCCGTGTCACCCATCGCTCGTGTCCCTCTTGCTCTTTTTGTGTACGGCAGACAAGACACGTCAGCTGCAGAAACAATACGAGGAACTCTTGCACCCCCCACCTCTTGATTCAGAACCAGAGGTAGTTTGCTTAGATTCAGAGAATGACAGCGATCAACCAAGTCAAGAACACCCCACAGCAGGCACCAGGGACCCCAAAGCAGCAGGCAGTTCATCAACCCCCCATGGCCCTGGTGCCCCCTCTGGCAATCCACCTTGCATTTCAAAACCCATTGTGGTGGCCACAGCTCCCAGTGTCATCGAGGCCGCGACCATTCTATATGCTGCTCGGGGAGGTCACTCGATACCTTATCTGATTCTGGGACTGCAATCTGGGCTGGTCCAGGTCTATGAGCTCTCTGACTATCCGCCGCAAGGTAAACTGATTGCACAGCATCAGAATCACCGTCAGACGGTTGCTGCAGTTGCGGCGCTGCCCGATAAGGGCTACCTCAGTGGCAGCTATGATGGAACCGTGCATGCCCACATTTTGGGCCAGAAGACTTCCGTCATGACCCAGTTAGACGCGGCCGTGCACGAACTCTGCGTTGCTGGCGCTCGAGCTTTTATTGGCTTGCGCTCGGGTCACGTGGTAGTCCTGCATCTGCCTACCAATCTCATCCTTCATAGATTTGATGTGGCCGACAAGACCATTACGTCCATATCGGTACGCTTTATATATGCACGCTAGTTTCATGGGTACAGCGGTTTTTTTTGACTTGCCCCCCCCCTTCCCCCCCGTTTGTCCGCATGCACGCGGCTTTCTTGGGCAGGTCTTTGACTTTCAAGGCCTGGAAGTGATGTTGGCGGCTTCTGTGAGTGGTACTGTCCAAGCACAGCTCACCTGCTCGCATGAAGCCCCAGCGCGCCCCGACCCCAACCTCTCAGCAGCAGCAAGGCCGCGTGTCATGGCCTGCCTGGTGTGTCTCAGCCAGCGTACGGCCTCGAGTGTGGCGCCGGCTGATGATGGCATTTTTGATCGGCTTGCCTGCTCCAAATGCCTCCGACGTGAACATCAAAGCACCCTGGCGCTTGACTCTTGTACACACGCCAAGAATGGGCTCTGCAGTCTCAAATGTGAAGCGTGCTTGCATCAACGCATCAGGTGAGTGTGCTGCCATCAGCTGGCCAACATTAGCCGAGATGGGCTCATAATCAGCGCCATTCGTCTGCGTGTCTCTTGATAGAATCATGCGCCGTCAGTATGACAAGCATGTCACATTGGCTCTCAGCCAGGACGCAGACCTGACTTCCGTGCTGCAGTGCCGGGCATGCAAAAACCCGTGCCCACGCTTTGCGCCTTTCAATCTATGCCACGACTGTGTGGGATTGGCTGTGTCTGGGCGCAGTGTCTCTTGTCAGCAGCACGAGGGGCTCGCATGTGCCCCTTCTAGCTGCATAGAGTGCCGCACGATTGCCGCAAGACGAGTGACGAATAGCTATCGTCCTTCAATGGCCTGGGTGGCGCCCGGGTGGCGCTTGCTGGTTTCCTCCACGCCAGTGCTCGGCTTGCTTATGGTGCCGCCCTCGACGGTGGTTGTTAGCGGCAGCAGCAAGAAACACAACGTTCTGGCTCTCTCCATTTTTGATGGGAGCGTGCAGTGGCGCCTGACGTCGGGCTCGAAGACCGTTCGAGCGCTGGCGTTGCAGGAGCAGCATCTCTTTGCAGGAGGTTTTGATGGCTGTATACGATCGTTCTTTTGCCGTGCTACCCGTCGGTCACCGCGGCCTCACCAGGAGATAATGCCGAACCACGCGGACGACTGGGTTTATGCCCTCAAACCCGTTAGCATGAATGGCCACTCTCATTTATTGCGTGCAGGACGGCACGGCACGGCCTGGATCATCCCTCTCGGATTTAGCGGTACGCTGCCGGACATCACCCCACCTTCTTCCAGTGCTCCCTCAACAGCACCGGCTTCCTTTCATGGTGGCCCAACGACGGGCACAACGCAGCCTGTCGGCACCAAGGATGCTTTTCGTGGCACCCATCGATCACACGGAGCCATCCCACCCGCCCAAGCACATGAGGCCGGACGGAATCGAAATTATCGCTTGCAATGTCGGCAGTGTCATGCACTATTTGAAAGTCGTGCTGATTTGACGGCCCACCAGACTCTCGAGCACAACACAAACCCTACTTTTCAGCGTCGAACCAAAGACAACAATTACGTCTTCATGGGCAGCAAGGACTTTCAGCGCCTTGTGGACGAGGAGCAGCAGTCGTATGCCCAGCACCTTGAGCCATCTGCTGTTCAGGACCAGGTCCCTCTCCGCCCTGCCCCCCCGCCAGGCAAACTGCCGTGCGATGTCTTGGGCTGTACCGCCTTCTTAGACTCAGCGGTAGATTTGGAGAACCATTGTCAAAGCCTGAACCATGACGGCTACTTGGCAGCCCTTCATCGTTTGAAGCCATCACCGTACGAAATCTTAAACTTGGACCTCAATGCCACTTCGGCCCAGGTTAGTTCTTGGATATTTTGCCTGTCTTGTGCTTGGAGAGTGAGAGCTGCTTGGTGTCTCAATATCGCGCCATTTGGCCCCATATACCATGCCTTTGACTGTGTTAATCTCCTGCTCTATGTCGTATGCAGGTACGCCAGCGATATCGTGACCTGAGCCGGCGCTGGCACCCAGATCGAAATCCACAACAGTGTGCCAACTTGGCATTTCAAATGTTCTCCGAAGCCTATCGCACCTTGAACGCGGGTCAGTAGCCCTTCCCACTTCTTTGAATGCATGCTTCTTTTGGGAGTTGCAATGCAAGACCCAAAACGTGTGTTTGTTGACTTTGAAACAAATGGCCCTGCTACTACTTAACTTGCTTTTCCAAACATTCGGATTTTTTATTTTTTTTCTCTTTTTTTTTTTTTGGGGGGGGGGGGCTCAACTTTCTCCACTATCACGAGCTGAGCACAATCAACTTTTGGTTTGTGTGGAACACAATGGTATCAATCTCTTCAATTCACCTGCTACGTCGACGAAAAGACTCGGCTGCCATTTTTCCAAACTTTGATGAAATGTGGACCTGCATCCAGCAGCAAAAAGCAAAGATGTTGCTCCCGGTAGTAAATCCGTGCTCTTTCTCTGGTTCCCAGATGACCCCCGGCAAAAGACTAAGGCCTTGGTTGCTTTGAAGCGCATAAAAAAAAACATAATAGAGCATACCATGCGATTAAAAAAGGTCTCACATGCCTGCTAGCTTTGGGCATCAAGAATGTTTTTCACCTATTTAATCCATCCAGAACACGTGAGCCAAGAATCTGCGAGCTTGAGGAGCTGACATAGATCAGGCGGTGCATGAGATTGGAGTGCGCACCGCTTGAGGAGAAACACGGGCACCCTGGCGCTCCAGGAGAAGTCGGCTAATAGCTTCTGGGTCCTCGCCAACTTTGCTGCGATGGCTCATGATCATTTTGGAGAAGACCTGCGCCTGTTGAGTCTCGCCATCAGAACTTGTTTGAACTTGATTATCGACACTTGAGGGTGTGGCGGCCGGGGCCTGCAGCTCTGACCTGAGCCAACCGAAAGCCAGGGTCAGCCCGGGCACCCTGAACTAGGATCGTTGATCAAGAGTGGAGCGAGGGCAAGCCAAGCACATACTTGGCACGCTTTGCTGCTAGTTCAGCAATATGAGGCGGCACATCAACCTGCGCTATTGGATCCTCGAATGAATCTATCTGTGCCTGCAAAGCCTTGGCCCGTTTCTGCGAGGTCTATCATCGAATGCCAGGTGAATGCGTGTCTCGATTCTTGATGACAAGCTAGCATAGCGCAATTAGGTGGAACGTGGGTGAGTGCCACGAACACACCTGTGCGTTGTTCTTGTGCTGACGTAGTCGCTCAATTTCGCTCAGGATTTGCTTTCCAGACGTGGGTGAGGGGGCGCGCTTGAGACTGGCTGGCTGGGCCCGGGGAGCGTGTGCCGAAGGGTCAGTCCAGTTGATCGAGCGAGCTACGCGCTGGTGGGTGATGGCGGCGGCAACAAGGACAGGGTCGTGGAGTGAGCAGGCTTGATAGGCGATATAGGGAGCACAACACCTGCGACAGTGGGACAAATACCATACGTTGTCCACACGATGAACCTTTTTCCAGTGGTAGTAAAACTTGATGATGTTGGCAATGGGTTTGTGTGGCATCTACAAAAGCACATGGAAGCACATGTGTGTCAACACAGCTGAAAGGAATGGGCGAGTGCCGGTACGTCGTCCTGCTACCCTTGTACACATAGATCAACATACCCGCGCCGAAATCTTGTGAAAATATTTGCCATACTGGCGAAACAGGGCAGCAAACATTTTGACGTCGTCATCGCTCCAGTTCACGTCATCGTCTGCACGATGAGTCAAAGGGAATCGAACACGAGCATGAGCAAGACATGAAACACACCCAGCAGCGAGCCAGTGAGGCGGGTGTGGCGACCTCCCACACTGTCACATTGCAACTCACAGGGGTGCGGGACATAGTCTTGTAGATCCTTCTTTGTAGCCTCCAGATCAAACTTGTTCCAGTACAAGACACCCAGAAGCTGATCACGCTTGTGATTGGGCGCTATTTGCCGCAGCTGCTTCACAACGTCCTCCACTGTGGGAAGAAGATTGTTTTAGAGCAGAGATGATGGGTTGTGAGTCAAGCCCCGAGGACCATGAGGAGGCAAACGGAGCGTTGAACATATGTTTAACAGGCATGAAGTGGACGCACACTTTTGGGCACTGAAGGGGCAGTCTGCGGGTCGCCACATGCGGCGCGGATGCACTAATTGCGAGCGCAATTGTGCTGTATCATACACTGCCAGCCCAATGAACAATTTAGGCGGTGAAGATTTTTTAAAAAAAAAAAAAAAAAAAAAGAGGGAGCTTTGCACACACAGCGCATGCGGTGTGCAAACCCGCTGGTGAATTGTCACGGGAGACGCGCACATGACATTACGGACCAGTTTCATGAGCTGGGAGATGTGCTTGATACTCTGCCCCGACGCGAATTCGGTCATCTTGTTGAGCCAAGTCTGCCTCAGAGCTCTCCTCTGTAGCTGTATTTCTTGTGGCCAAAGCTCGGTCCCGCGCCTCTTGCCCAGCGTCCTGAGCAACTGATGCCTCAACGGTCGCAGCGCTTTCCGCCACCTGACCGGCAGTACTCGTTGCCATGTTTCCTCAAGAGGCACACACACGCACACACACACATACACACCGAAAGACACTCGTTACAGAGAAAGTGCGTGTGTGTGTGTGTGTGTGTGTGTGTGCTTACATATAATGTAGTGTGGGCTGGATTGTCAGATATTTCGAGCAAAACCAGCACTCAACATCTCCTCTCTCTCTCTCTCTCTCTCTCTCTTTCTCTCTCTCTCTCTCTCTTGAGGGGGCGCTCAAGCGTCTATCGCTCGGCGAAGACTTGAGAGATGGATCTCGCCGAAGCCGAGGCTACGCTGCAAAGCCTTGAGGAGGCACTACAGATTGGAGGCCCAAACCCAGAGCTGGAGGCAATGCGCCAGGACCTGCACGACCTCGTCCAGTTGCTGCGCAGCGAGCAGGCATCCTCCTCAGCCCCATCAACAGACAAGGCGCAGTCGCAGCAGCCGCCTGCCCAGGCACAGTCGTCTTTGTCTGGAAATCAAAACCCTGTCTCAAATGCGCCTCCGCAAACATCAAAAGACCAAGCCTATGCCAGCTTTTTCGCGACTGAGGAAGCACGCGTAGCGACCGTAACGGCCGATACGCGCGCACACCGTCCAGCGTATCGCGAAACCATCGCCCCAGGCTCCGAATGCATGGCGCCCTTTACAACAAAGCAAGGCGAGCGAGCCCATCACTTGGCTCGCGTCCTTTTCCTTGAGACTGATGGCCAGAACTGCCTGGTTGACTTCCAACGCCCATTGTCTGCGGACATGTGCACTTGCCCTGCCTTCCTGCAAGGACATTGCCGCTTTGACACGGGCTGTTCCTGGTCACACGGCCATCGCGTGTCAGTGGATGCATTGAAACCAGCTGCTGAGCAGCCACTGGAAATCAATGCGCTGTGCCTGGTCCGTAGCGGCCCGCGTCTCTGGCGTCGAGCCCTCTTGCGCGGGGTCGCTGATGATGGCCAAGCCTTGGTATCATGGGTCACACCCCTCGGTGTGGCCTCCGGATCAACCGATGTTATTGCAGTCTCCAGTGATCATTTGGCCCCAATGTGTGCTGAAGCAGAAACTCTCTCTGATGATGACGACTCGGATGGCGACTCGGATGACGATGCTGAGGAGGATACCGTAACAACAACCGCGAGAATCGACGTCAAGACGTTTGGGGCTTGGGAGCGGCACACTTCGGGCATCGGCCTTAAGCTCCTGCAAAAATATGGTTACAAACCCGGCGATGGCTTGGGAGCAGATAAGCGTGGCCGTGTCGAGCCCGTGGCGGCCCTGGTGGTGCCAGCAGGGAAGAGCCTGGACAAGATCATGCAGCTTCGCGCTCAGGGTCGCCTACACTTTGGTAAGTGCAGCCGTCGACATGCGTGCCTTCACGCAGCTTTGTGTTGCTGTCAACTTTAAACTGAGGGGTCCTGTACTTGACTTTCGCTTGATTTCAGTGGGTGAGCCTCCAGCTAAGAAACATGGCGCGCGGCGAACGAACAAGCCCACAGTCTTTGACAAGCTAAATCGCATTCTGGCCGAGCCGGCACCAACCGAACGTTCAGGCACCCCGATGGCGCAAACAAACTCATCCCGTGGACCGTCGACCAAGCCCAGTGGCCCTCCACCAACGGCGCAAGCCCAGCTCTTGGGACTCGAGGCACAGGTTCGTGGTCCTGATCGACGAAGATGGCTGCTTTATTTTTTTTTTTTTTTCCTGTGGTTTGTTTTTGTCATCAACATCCGACTGACCACCGCCTGCGCTCCCCTCATACTCTTGTTTCGCAAGATTGCTGAACTGGAACGTTTCAAGCAGCGACAGTCGGGACGCGACTCACAGAGCCGCCGCGTCACCGACGCCGTTCATGGCTACATTAGCGGCGCTGATGCTGAGATTGCCACGCTGCAGGCGGCCAAGCACAAGTATGTTCAAAGTGGGTTTCGCCGCCCTCTTCTTAGTTCCCGGCATGTTGACGAACACGCGTTGCGCGTGTGCTCCCTTGCAGATTAGAGAAAGAGATCAAGCGGAAAAAGTCTCGCGACACACGTCGCCTTTTCTAAGCGTCCCTGAATCGATTTTCCAAGCTAGGCTGGTTTTGGGGTTTTTGTGTTTCTGACCTCATCTTGTTCTGATCATGACCTGGGCTCACTTGTCATTGTTCTGTGTTTAACGGACGAGCGGTTGATGCGGCGTGACGTTGCGCGGTATACATGAGAAAGAAGTTCAAGTTCAGTGGCCTGGCCTTTCGATTGATGCTAGAGCAAAGGCAAATATGTGCGACGAAAAGCAGGGACACATGAAATGGTAAAAGAAACGAAATGTGGCTCATTTAGAGAAGGGTTCCGCGGCAAGCTTCGCCGTGGCAATCGGGGAAGGGATAGTAGTCGGGCACGATATCCACCTAGAATCGGATGCACGGGCAAAGGTGACGGGTGTGAGGAAGGTTTTGGCGAACGACAGCACACGACGGGTTTTTTAGGAAAGATCTCAGGGCAAACGAGGGTTACCTGGGTGGAGAAGATGTAGGGGAAAACGCCGACGGGAGCATCAAACTCAACCTCGAGGAACCAGGCGCGGAAGCCGGCATCGGGGAATGCCATCTCACCAGCTGAGAGACGCAGGACAACAAAAAACGGGTGATGTGAGGCAAACAATCAACTACATAAACCGATTGGATTGTAGGTGATGCTGGACATGGAACGCACAGAAATGGGTGTCATCAATCTGGGTGGCGTCCTTGCCCTGCCAGAGCACGGGTTGAACGCAGCCACCTGCCACATGACCATCAGAACCCAAGACACGAGTGAATGAACCGATGCGTACACAGTCAAAAAAAAGGTGCATGGGAGGGCAGCAGCAGCAGCAGCAGCAGCATGTCAGATCGAAGTAAATGTGCAAAAGTCAGAATACAGATGCACCGTACCTTCCACAGAGATGGTTGGGCAAGGGTTCTCGCCAGTCACGAGACGCCAATCGCGGCGGGTATGGTTGAGAGTATCAGCCCAGCGAATCTTGACTTGCTTGGGCTTTTCCGAGGTCGTCAGATTGATCCAGGCGGAGGTGTTGTCGGCGTTGCGGCCAAACTTCCAGGTCTGTGGCAAACAAGGTGTCGAACGCACGCACACGCGCCAGGTGAGCGCGAGTTGTAGTCATGGCAGGGACGGAACGCGTGAAGCAAGACACCCATTGGACGCTGAGGATTAAGAGCGAGACGTCACAGCCATTGTTGCTCACGTACCATCTCAGGGCGAGTCTCGTTGGCAATGACGTCATGAACAAAAGAGGAGATGGTCTTGACAACCTCAACGAGGCCGGTCACAAGGGAGTGCTCGGCGTTCTTGATGAAGATGAGGTGCGATTCACCGTACTGGGTCACGTTGTCCCACCAAAAGTAGTTGTCGTCCAACTGGAAGAACTCGTCGCCTGTCGAGTCAACAACAAGCTTGGGCATGGTGTAGCGCTCGCGGTAGACGTAGGGATCAACGACATCCGCCAGCTACACGGCCAATCACCAAGACGGAATGAGATGCTGGACTCATGCCCAAGCTTTGACCGCGTGATGACAAAGCCAAAAGACATACCAGCTGCATGTTGGGGTGGTCGATGTTCTGGGTGAAGTTCATGCTGTAGTAGTCCTTGAAGGCAAAGGTCCAGCCTGTCGCAGTGCAGTGTGCAGTGAGGTCAGCCGTATAAAGTACGAGGCAACTTGCACTCGAAGTGCGGTGGAGAAAATGCGGCGCTTGATGCATCCCGAGACATACCGCCGTAGGCGCGGTACATGTGGTGCACATTGGGAATCATTTGGAGCAAGTCTACCCCCAAGAAGAGCACGTGAGAACGAGGCAGTGCTAAGCACCACAAATTGGTTTGCCTCACTCTGAACCTTCACAAAATCAACCAATGCCCAAGACGTACCCATGACAATGGGAACCATGGCCTTGACGCGCTTGTCGACAGCGGCAGTGGTCCAGGTCGTCCAGCCGCGCTTGGAAGCTGTCAAGAAAGTACAAAATGGATTTGGCAAAGCGGTGTATGAGGACGGACGGATGAGTCGAGGATTAGAATACCGGTCAACCGCCGGTAGCAGGGGGCAGGAGGCAGGGCTTACCGCCAGCCACGATGTGGCCCGTAATGTCCATGTCTAGAGAAATACAGACAAAAATACAAGGCAACAAAGGATCGTCACCGCACAGTTCGGCAAGCAAATTCGACAACGTCCCCGGTGGTACGCACTGTAGTTTTTCTTGAGGTAGGCCTCAGAAGTGTCCATGGCACGAACGGCGGCCTTGGTCATGGGCAGGCGGAGCAGCCATTCGGGCTCGTTGGGGTTCTCAATGAAGTGGTTCCAGGTGTAGGCAATGATGGCATCCTCCACACGACGAGTGGGGGGCTGCTCGGCCTTGAAGTAGATGGGAGCGTTGGGGATTTGGAAGAGAACGGAGCAGGGAGCGAAGGAGGTCAGGGCAATGGAGACGCAGAGGAGGACGTCTTCTGAGTCGGGCGACGGCACGCTGTCTGTGTTGTAATCACCTGTGGGGCACACAGAAACAAGGTGCGGATCAGCACCTTTGGCACCAAGAGCTGCACTGCACTGTGTAACAATCGCAACTCGACGTGAAGACGTACCGGTGATGTACATGGTGTTGGTGTCCTTGTACTTCATGGTCTCGGGAATGACGATGGCCATCTGGCGACAGGCCGAGGCAGGTGAGGGAAGACGGCGAGGCGAGATTGGGTAGGAAGACGTGAGATCGGGAAGGTGGGCCAGCCGATTACTTGGACCTAACCCTAACCCTTGGACTTACGTAGTGCCACCAGATGCTGCGATCCACATCGTTGTCAGTCAGCCACTGCTGGGAAGTCATGTTCAGGATGTGCACTGTCCCATTGCGATAGCAGCGGGTGAGTGCCAGACGGGCAAAAAGGATCAAGGCCTGGCGCAACCGTAGACTGATTTGCAAAACTGACCGCGATAGCCAGGGCCCGTGTAGCTGACGTTGGTGTCAAACCACTTGTAGTTGCTATCGGGCTTGTTGACATAGTCATCGAGAGGCGTAGCCTTCACCTATTCAGCCACAAGTGTTTGTGCCAGAAACACACCAAAGTAAGCAGAAACCTGAGACGATGCAGATGCAAACAGATCTTTCTCCTTGACATCTTTGAAGTTCAGACTCATGATGGGCCCCGTCCGCCTCACTGAAAATCCCTCAGCACTCGATCAACACGTGCCAAAACGGTCTACATGCTCAGGGCACTGAGGCGGCTCGATCTGCCGATGCGACCAACATGACCTGGCTTCCCAGACACCTGCCTGCCTCATGCACGATCCCCTGATAGCCATAGTCAAGGCGCTGTTCAATCGAAACGGGAGAGGATCAAGCATGGCAGCGTACTTACACCCACGGCGAGGAGGGCGATCAACGCCACGATCACGATGGTGGCCGTCGACATGTTCATGGTGTCCTTTTGGTTTGTTCAACACACAAACAAAAAAAAAAATGATCTACACCCTCATGCAGCTCGACAGTGCTGCGCCCTAAGAAAGTCCCACACACAGATGCGCATGTCAACACCACAACAAGAGCTGAGACGAGACCAACGCTTGGTAATGGTGTCTTTGATCCTTACGGGAGAGGAAGCGCCCTCCAAAAAGCGGTTGGTAGCAAAGTATGTCAACAGGCGCACTTATGTTGGCTCAGACCAGACTTGATAATGGAGGGGCCATAATATGACTTTGGGGAAGGAAATGTCAGCAATTGTGTGCCGGACGCCGACGCGAGGATCACAAGGACACGTGAAACGAGGGCGATTGAGTGAGCGCCTCGCTGCCGTCGCTGCCGTCGCTGCCGTCGCTGCCGTCGCTGCCGTCGCTGCCGTTGTTGTCGTCGCAACTTGCCTCGTGACCACAGCCATGGCCAAGGCGCTGACGGATGCAGCCTCTGAGGCTCTAGCAGAAGTTGAGGGATTGGTCACGGAGCTTACTGCTCAGGAACGGCCCGGCAAAGCGGATTGGCGACGTCTTGCTCAGGGCGTCGAGGCTCTGAGCCGTACCTGGCATGACCTCGTGGCAACCGACGGGCCGGCGCTGACCGACGCTACGTCTGCACATGATCTTGCCACACGGACATTTGCCTTGGCAATGGTCATGACTCGTGAGCGTCGCCCTGTCCTTCGGGTGAGCCCCAAGCGTCCCCCTCAACGAGTTTTTCCAAACCCCGTCAGAACCTCTTCCTCACTGAGCCACTTACTCGCGTCCTCGCCAAACGCCAGGTCTTGGCCTCCATGGCCACGCTGTGGCCAAAGCAATCTCATCAAGCTTGGATGGACCTGGTAGCCTCGCGCCTAGCTACTCATGCCCGTGACGATCACGTAGGTTGAATGCTTTTATCCCGAGCCTAGCTCCACCCGGCAAGAGACTATTACTTCGAGCCCTCACTCCGAGGCTGCCACGTGCTTGGCCTATCCGCCTGTATCCTTTCTGTTCATCAAAACCCGCCGCTAGAGTCTCTGTGGCGTCTTGCTAGACGTTTTACCCATGCTAGAGAACCGTGAAGTCCCAGCCTTTCAGGAGCTTTTGCAGGCAGTTGCGCCCGTGCTCGCGCCCGCCCTGTTAGCAGCTTTGGGCCCAGCCCAGCTCCCGTTGCTTTCCGACAGCGAGGTTCTAGGCCTTCTCAAGGTACACCCCTGGTGGCCCCATGCCCACTTCTTTGCTCCTTTCCTTTGCTGGCCGCATGCCCTTTTTCGCCTGGATCTACGATAGGCCCGAGGGGCGCGCCTCCTGCTCGTTCTTCCTGCTCGCGTGTTGGATTCGGCTGCATGACCATTTTGCCTGCGATCGGGCTTTGTATTAGTTGGCCATGCTGTTGTTGCAAGTACCAACGAGCCCATTTGTGGCGCATGCATCCTGTGAAAGCCTGTTGGCCGCACTCACCGCTCTGGCCGACCGCCCTTTTCCGGAACTCCACAACCTGGTCATTATGACCTACATGGTCTTGATCAAAACCCACGCCTCTGTCAACGGCACGGAAGTCCATCTACCCGCCCTACTCACTGGGTGAGTGGCATGGGCTCATCCCTCGCATTCAAACACACACGCGCGCACACACACACACACACCCTTGCCAATTTCGTCCTCGATCTCAAACCTCAAGAACTTCATGCACTTCTCAATGAAACGCTTGACCGCGCAGAGATGCCAAGGCCATGGCAGCAGAGACGCAGTTCCTGGCCGTACCTTCCCTGCAAGGCACAATCGAGGGCGCCCATGCCTCGGTGCCCCACATCCGCGGCCTGCTGGCCTTGTTACCGCGAGAGCAACTTGTTGCCAGGCCATCCACCACATCAGAAAATGACTCCACCCCCCTCTTTGAGCGGCTGGTCTCCGCCCTTTTGCTGCGCGCATCCCCGGACCAAACCTTGGACACGCGCATTGCCGCCTATCAGACACTTAACGTTGCAGCCTCGTTGCTTGTCACGCAAGTGACCGACGCGCCAGATTTATCGGCCTTTGATGTTGCTAGCCTGGTGACTGAGCTCCTCAACTGTAGCATGGAAGGAGCTGACGACAAGGTGGCGGTACGCCATGGTGGTTACCCCCTGTGCATTCTTCACTCGCATTCCCGGCTCCCGCAACTCACGTGGCTTTGGCATGGCTTGGCAGGTCATCAAAAGCCAGGCACGCAGCATCTTTTCCAAGCTCTTGCGCCTCCTCCGCTCTGGCCAGGAACAGCTACTGGAAACGTTAACCCGAGGCCTGGCCGCCATGCCCGCGGATAGCAAGGTACTCGATTCGGCCATGTCGCTGCCACGATCAGTGCTCGCCTTATCGCCGCGCCCATGCTTCTTGCCATCATGCAGCTCTAACCAATGATGCCATCGCTCGTGATAGCGACGGTATGCTTTGCTGGCGCGCTTGGTTAACGAGTTTGGCTTTGACTTTTGGCAATCGCGCTTTGTCGATCTGCCCGCCATGGTGGCCGCTGGACTCGAGTACCATGGCACTGTTCAAGCCGCCAGTAGCGTGTATCGTGCCGCCATCAAGGTCAGGGTCGATCCAAGCCCTGGGGCTCCAACCTGCTTCTTTAAGCTCTTTAAATGAGACGCTTCGCGCTGAATGCATTCTCTGTGTTGATGGCGGCAAACCGCAGGCGTATACCTTTCCAACAGACTTGCCGCGCTGGAGAGCCAGCTGGGCAAATCTTCTAGTTGATCTCTTGAGTCGGCGCGAGGCAGCAGTGGCTCTCACCGTCCGTGAGCTCTGGCTGCCAGACACGGCCCGCGCCTCGCCCCTGCTTCTACCGTGCTTGCGTGAGGAGCTGACAGCTCGTAAGGTGCATCTAGACTACAGCAGCCTTCTTCAAGGTTTGCTTTTGGTCGCTGCCGCTGCTCGTCAGGAGGGTCAACTCCCCGATGATATATGGCGTGATCCAGCCACTTGTGCTTCTGCCCTGGGCTTGGACTATGCATCTCTCCAAAGTGCCTTCCTTCATCAGGACGAGAACATCCGTTTCACGGCAGCAGCACTCGTGCTTGCGGCCCCACAGGTTGGGCATCCCCTTGGGAACCATCTTTGAACCAATAATCACGCGCACGCACGCACACGCACACGAACGCGAACACGAACACACCTTTCCTCACAGCTCTCTGACACGGTCTGCTTTCGTGTTCCCCGCTTGTTTTTATGCATTCGAGCTCACGCCATGCCACCTGACTGGCGTTGTACTCAGACCATCCACGTGCCGGAAACCTGCGAACTGGATCTCTTTTGTCAGTTTGTATCCCAAAACCTCAACTGCCCTTGGGCCTCAGCACGTCAGGTACAACCCTTCTCGCACATGCGTCTCTATGATCGTTTTTGGTTCTGTTTTGTTTGTTTTTTTTTGTTTCTTTTTGTGTGTGTGCCCATCTTGCCGGTCGCAGTAAGCAGGCATATTTGCGCTCACGATCCTCATTGATCTGCCGCGTTGCACTACATAGCGGACCCTAACGCTGGTGCGGCAATTTTGGCAGCGCCTGCTTGTTAGTGAGCAGCACGCTCGCCAGCGCCATGCCAAACTCGAAGCCATGGCTCTTCGCCGCGCAGACGAGGATCAAGCACTTTCGCCTGAAGAGGATCGCAGCCATTCTGAAGCATTCGATTTAACTGATGCCGCCCATGAACGTGTCGAGATCGCGCTCCGCCACTGCCAGCGAGAAGCCCTCCTCAGCCTGAGCGTCGGAACCAACGCGCAACGCTCAGGGCAGGGTCTCAAGCTTCTCTTGCTCTTGGAAGATATGCTGGAATGGACCGAATGGGCTCACGCTGACGTGGTGCAAAATGATGCCCATGCTCTCTATACGGTGGCTTTTGCTCTGGCCTCCAACTACCCCGCTCTGCGGGCCGACGCCGCCCGCGTCCTTCAAGCGTGGTACCCGCGTCTGGCCCCAACAGAGCAGCTCAATCTCAAGGAATTTGCCCTGCGAAACATGTGGTCAGCCTGTGGTGCACCACGCAGCAAGGACCGTCAAGCAGCCGTTGCCTTCGCGCGAACGTTGTTGCCTTTGCCAGTTGAACACACCATCGTGGTAACCCCTGATCCAATGCGAACCCCCGCCCACAGTCCGACCTTGCCTGCACAATCAGCCGATGCCGAGGAAAGCGCGTCTCCGCTTGCCCGCCTCGTGGTAGCCGGGGCCCCCGTCTTGCTCTCCTTGGAGGCACGCGTCACAGCGCCTGCTTCAATGGCCCAGTCGTCCTGTGTACAGCTTCTGCTTCACGAGGTGCGCTATCATATGGGTATCTTAACGGCCTCGACGGATCGTAATCGGTGGAGCCGCCACCCCTTGGATGGTTGGATCGAGTGCGTGCAGGAAGCACTGCTGCGCGAGCCCTTGAACAAGGAAGACTTACGGGCAACGTTTGAGCTGGGACAGGCCGTGCTGGCCTACGGTCGAGCCATGCTGGCACTGGATCGGGGCTCCATGCCTTCTTTCGCTGATATGGACGGTGCCATCACCGATTGCGTGGAAGATGATCAAGACACCATGGCCAGCGACAACGCTTCCTATGCCATGAATTTTGCCTGGACCACACTACGCGCCGGCTCAGCCCTACTAGCCACGGTGGTGCAGGTCATTGTTGGCTCAAATACGGGCCATTGGTCAATGGACGAGCAGGTCGCACTTACTCAGACTGTGACGGAGGGTCTCCGCGACATTTTGGCCTCGTGTCGCCATCGTGGCATCATCGAGTCCACGGCCGGGACACTGCTGCAGGTATTAGAGGCCGTCGAGGCCTCGGAGAGCTCTTCTCTCCAGGTCATAACAGATCAGCTCCTGGCGGTTGAGCTTGAGCGGTGCCGCAATGGGAGCGACGCTCTCTCCGTGACTCGGCGCTCCGCCGGGCTCCCCTACATTGCTCATGCCGCTCTTCGGGCTCAGCAAACTCGCAAGCGCCACGCTCTGGTTGATACCATGGCACAACTTGAGGGCATTGCCCGCTTGGGCATTCACTTTGACGCATCTGACGAAACACTGGATCCACCACAGGTTTGTTGCCGCTGCCCCGCTGCCTGTGGCCACCCTCGTGGACTGGACGTCTGCTCATGAGAAAGGTGTTCTGCTGCTCGCCACCTATAGATGTTGGCGTTTTACGTGCTGAAGCTGGTGCTGGGTGATCGCACACTCAGTGCAGCTACCGAGCACAGTCTGGCACATTGCGCGCGACTTGCCATTGATGGATTCAGAGCAAGCACCTGGTTGATTCGCAACGCCAGTTTGCAGCTTTTTTCCCAAGCAATTGAGCGCATCTTTGAAAGTGGGCCCAACGAAAGCGGCTGTCTCCCCACAACGGACTTTGCTCGCCGGTATGTGCATACCATCGCTTCGTTGAGACTTGGTTGGGCTCGCCTTCCATTGCGCGCACCTCACATTCACCCCTGCCTTGCACCGTGCTTAACCTTGTGGTCATTCCAACTGCTGTGGCTGGGGTTTGAAACGTCAACATAGGTACCGAGTGCTCTGGACTCGCTTACAACAGGAAATCACGGATCTGGCCAAGCATTGCTTTGACCTACCCTTCCTTCTGGATCAACCACATTTGATGCCCCTCTTGCTCATGCTGGCTCGACTGCGTGGTGCACTCAACGCGGATGATGTTGTGCCGGAGGGCTTATGGGACAGTCTGGCTCGATTGGCACAGTGCCCGAGCTACCACGCACGGACTCGAGCGGCCATAGCCCTGGCACGGCTCGGCGAAACGCCCCGCCTGCTTGATACAACCGAAGTGACCACGCCCAATGCACTACACGGAGCGCTACTCTGCGCTCATGCCGCGTTGAAGCGCGGCATTGTGTGGGCACCGGCAGTAGGGAATTGCTTGCGCGGCCTTCAATCCAAACTTGGCACCACTTTGGACTCCATGTGCTTGCATGCTTGGCAAGAGTGCTTCTTGGCACTACCCACTGAATGGCAAGCACGTTTCGAGACCGTGAGCCCACAGCATGCAACAGTGCACGTGCAGGTCCGCGCACAGGCTATGGAAGCCCATCAAGCCCATCGCGCCCAATCTCTGCAACAAGCCAAAGCTGCCCTGGCCACCGGAGAAATCACCGCCGAGGATGCGGCCCGGCTACTTTTTGCTCAATTCTCGAATACTGTAGCTGATGAGCTGGCTCTGACCGCACTGGCTCATGCAGTGCTGCGCGCGCTGGGTGCTCAAAAGTCTGGCACTTACGACGTGTTCGCTAGCACTGAAGTGGTCCAAGGCGTTTTGCAGCTAAAGAACGATCGTCTGCGACAAGCTCTCTTTGCAGTGCTGGGCTACGTGGCCGTGGAGGAGGCGTTACCAGCATTGCTGCACCGCTGCATGGCTTTGTGTGCTTGGGATCGCGATCCTGTCTTCCAGCTTGCGGCGGCCCGTTGCATGCGCGGTCTGTGCGCGAGATCTACAGCAAACCTGGAGGTAGCGTGGGCTCGAGACGCCGTGCTGGTGCTGCTGGAGCTAGCCGAAGCTGAAGATGACTCAATTCGCCAAATGGCTTGCAAAGCCTGGCAAGGCCTGTCGGGCGCGCAACTACCTGCCAATTTTGTGGGCACTTCGAGCGATATTATGGCCTGGTTGTGTACGTCGGCCACCACAGACGCCGCGCGTGAGCATTTATTGGTGCATTTTTTGGAACGATGTGACCGCTTTGAAGCCTTGAACACGGTACGTCACCTCGGCTGCTACCTATGGGCAAAATGCTGCAACCGCCCTCTCACCCTTATCCTGCTTTGAACCCCCCGCCCAGACCAAGTTGTTTGAACAAGAACCTCTCAACTGCTTCCGTGAGCCCCTTCTCTGGTTTCAGCGCACGCACCGCTTGGCAGCGTATTGGGGGCCCCTGGCTCTGCAGCCAACTACGGTTGCCCAGTGGCGTTCACGCTTGCTGTCAGACCTCGAAAATTTGAGCACAATCAATGCCGTAACCTTGTATGCGCAGTCAGAGCGCCTACGAGTTTTCAAAACCATCCACACATTAGGTGCGGTGTTTTGCAGCCAACACCACGTGGATGCTGAGGTGTTGAAGGCGGTCGAGCGCGCGCTTGACAATATGTGGTGGATCAACACGGACGTCTGTCTGGGCTTTGACCTCCGATGGCAGCTCGGTACTTTGCGAAGAAGTGGTGGTACAACGATGGACGCACTCGATGGTGCTGGCGAGCCCGCCGCATCTCCTGCCCAGCACCTGCTGCTGCTGACGGCGCTTCTCGCTGCAGTGGGTATCATAAAAGCATCTGAGGCGCCCGACGTTGAGCAAATCCCGTCCGAGGGATCGACCACAGACCCTTCAAGTGACGTAAATAGCCTGTATATGATCACCGACAACGTTTGGTGGCTTTCGTAAGGAAAGCTGGCTCAATCACCTCGCGGCTGTCGCGATGACCTGTCTCCCGAGTCCAAGATGTCTTCTGCATCACACCTGTCACTTTTTCTGGTGTGCGTCTTTCGATTAATTTACTCAAGGGGAGTGAGTTTCGATTTTTTTCAATTATCATTCTACTTTTTCCGAAACGTCAACACGAATTGAAACGTTGCAAGTCGGCTCACAAAAAGGGCCACAAGTTAAATTCAGCAGCGACTGTGACCATGCTCCAAGATGCATACCCATACATAAATTGGGCAGGGGTGTCAACGGTGGCGCAAGTACACAAAGTAACCGGGTTTGAAGCACACGACCAGCGCACACATACAAAAGAAAGAAAAAAATCACAAACTGAGCAACAAAAAGACAAGTCAGCAGGCGGGCGTCAACGGTTGGCACAAATCGATGAAAGGCAAGAAAGCGTCAAGACACAGTTGCCCAAGGCACATCAGGGGAGGAAGGGAAACGGTTGCAAACGGTCCCATGTGCTTGAACTCCTTTCTAACTGGCGAAGATACGCGTGGTGAAAGAGGAGTAGTCAAATGCGTCTGGTCCGTTGGCGCCGGGATACGGTTGCATATGGCGAGCGCAAAATTCAACTTGATCCTCTGTCAGCACCTTGCGTAAGTCATCGAGCGTCACGTAGGGCTTGTCACCAGCAGCGGCGCGGAAGGCACTAATCACTTCGCTGGCCGATTCAACATTCTCTGTTTCGCGGGCAATCATGAAGGATACAAACTCGGCGTGGGACACGTAACCATCGCGGTTGGGATCCAACTGGTTGAGGATGTTTTCAAACTCGGGATCGACCTCGCCTTGCTCGACGACGGGCAGGTTGTAGCCCAGCGTACGCAAGCAGGAACGCAACTCCTGGTGATCCAGCTGTCCCGAACTGTCCTTGTCGAAGTAACGAAAGGTCTCGTTGAACTCTTGCAGTTGCTCCTCTGAGACACCCGTGGTGTTACGGGCCTGGATTTGTTGCTCCAGGTTATGCTGCATGCGCATGCCCAATTGCTCCAGCTGGTCCAGTTGTTGGGCCAAACCCACCGTGGAGTGTTCCGTGTAACGGTTGTCCAAGATAAGGCTCTCCTCCATCTGCGCCCCCAGCTCCTCAATCTTCTTGAGCATGGATTTGCGCGCCAAGACCTCCTGGTGCTTAAGCTTGGTGCGCTCCAGCTGCTCCTCGAGCGTACCGGTGCCCTCAACCAGAGACTTGCGCGTGGCCAGCAACCAGGCCGCAAAATCATTGGCCCGTTGGGCAAAGGCCTTGCGAAGTTCATCGTTGTCTTGCTGGCGTTTCAGCTCGTCCTTTAGGTCCTGCTCGCGGTCCTCGATGACCTCGCGCAGGGCCTGCCACGACTCCTGCAGTGACTCAATGGTGAACCAAGTGTAGGGGTTGGCCGCCGTTGTGCGATTTTTTATGCGCTGGTCGAGGGCTTGCAACTGACGAAACGTGTCCTCTGCCGAAGAGAGAGAGGTCATGAATTTGGTGTGCGCCTCACGAAGACCAAGGATTTCCTCGAGTGAATTGACACGAACGGGATCGGTGAGATCCTCCTCTGCGTTTTCAAACCAACTGTTAAACTTGGAAGCCTGGTGGGCAAAGTCGAGAAACAGTTGGTCGATCTCTTGGTGAAATTGTTGTGCCTGCAGCAATGCCGTGCGCCGCTGCTCAGCAGCCTCCAGCAGGGACCGCCATTGCCGCATTACCACCTCTTCGCGTGCTGTAGCTTTCGAAGCGTTGCGGTTGCGTTCACCAACGAGGCTTTGTAGCAACTCTTGAACCCGCTCAATACGAGGCTTGAACTGTTCCACCGACGCGTCAAAGGTCTCGTGCTTGGTGATCAGGGACTCGATTGAGGCAAGGTCCGAGCCGTAGTTGGTGGAGGCCGCCTGGGGGCGCTTGTCCTCAATCCAAGCCTCGATACCGTCGGCCTCGCGGCAAAACTCCAGATAGTGGAGATGATGGAGCAGGCCTTCGCTTCGCTGCGTCGCAGCCTGTTGCAAGGCCGTAAACTGGGCATTCAGCGAATCAGAAACGCCAGCAATGTTCGCGGAATCATTGGAGTCGCGCAAGGAAAGGGCTCGGCCCTGCTCCACAAGACTGCGTACGGTGCCATGGTGCTCCTCCAGGTCTGATTGGAAGGCATGATGCTTCTTCATGAGGGCTTCTGCGCCAGAGACAGTATTGGCCAACTCTTCTGAGGCCATCAAAGAGAGCTTCTCATTGACCCAGGAGAGCTCCTCGTCCACGGCAGTGCGATAGCGCTGAAAGTCAAGAGCTTCAGCTAGGCGCTGGCGGCGCTCACTGCTCGACCGCTGCAGTGCCTCCCACTGATCGTCCAACTCACGAATTTTCGCTTCGAGTTCCGCCACGGGCCGCGTGCGATGCGTTTGAACAAAGGCTCCCGCGCTGCGACTCACGTCCTTGATGCGATCCGCATGGCCCTCGAGCTCTGTCTCAAAGGCGCTGTGTTTCTTCTGCAAATTCTGCACGCCCGTCAAGTCCTTCCCAAAATCCGTGGACTTGGTCTGGCGCTCCTTCTCCTTCATCCATGCCAGTTCGTCTTCGATCGTGCGAAGCAGCTCATGGTACTGAAGGGCCACGGCCAGGTCCTCCCCACGGGTGCGAGAGCGAGCAGCCACATCGTTGTAGCGCTGTTGCACGCGATCATACATATCCGCCATCTGGTCCGCAGCAAAGTGCTGCTGCTGGCGGAACATACCGAGCTGCGTGTGCAAGTCCTTTACGCGCTTGTTCTGCGCCTCAATGTCAGCGTGTAGCAGTTCGTGTTTTTTGATCAAGTTCTGGACCGAGGGCACGTCGCGACCGTTGTCGGAACTAGATAGCTGCACCTCTACCTCGCTCAACCAGAGCTCAACATCCTCAACGCTGTGGTTGTATTGCTGCTGAGAGCCTGCCTGAAGCAGACCCTGGCCTTTTTCTGCGGAGCGGGCCTTGAGCTCGCGCCATTGGTCCTCCATGGCTTGAATGCGTGGGCCCACAGCTTCAGCAGCATGAGGCTTGTTGCGTACAATGTCACGGCCGTCCTCAATCACCTTGAGCACGCGTGGCTCGCTGGCCGCAATCTCTGCCTCGAATTTTTGGTGTTTTTGAAGCTTGCTCTCCAAGTTGCTGGGATCCTTGTAAGAGGGGTCATTGGCCAGCACTGCCTTCTCGGCAATCCAGGCATCCATTTCGTTGGCGTCTTTGAGATACTCTTGAATTTGACGAGCGTCGTCCAATTTGCGTTTGCGGTCCTCAGACAAGGTGCATAAGGCTCGCCAACGCTCCTGGATATGGCGGCGCTTGTCAGCTACGAGAGGTGCATCGTAATGCTGGTCATCGATCAGACGCTGCGCATCTTGCTCAACCTGCTTGACTTTCTCCTCCTGCGCAGCCAGGCTCTGCTCAAAGTCGTGGTGCTTTTGCACCATTGCTTCCACGCCATCCAAGGACGTGCCAATGTCCTCATCGGCGAGAGGTCCCTCCCGTGCGGCCATCCATGCATCGACTTGATCGGCCAAGCGTACAAAGGCCTGCAATGCCTGGCATTGTTGCAGCAGACGTTCTCGTGTCTGCATGCCTCGCTGCAACGCTGCTAGGCGCTCGTCCAGGTCTGTAAGCTTAGTGCGCAGCTCGCCCTCGACCGTGGGGTCGCGAGACGCAAGTTCTAGTCCTTGCTCGCGCAGGCGCACCAAAGAGGTTTGGCGCGCATCAATCTCAGCCTGCAGGTCCTCGTGCCGTTTAAGTAGCGTAGCCGCACCGTTGACATCTTTTGCCAGCTCCTTGCTGGCGGCAAGGGGCTGCACACCCGACAACCAGGACTGGGCGTCACGATACTCGGCCAAAAACTTTTGATACTCGAGAGCCCGTTGCAGGCGATCCGTACGCGCCGCGCTTTGCTCCAGAAGGTTCTCCCAACCAGCCAAAATTTGGGTCTGCTTGGCACTGACGTCGGCATCGACGGCGGGCTGAGCTGTGCGAAGGGCAGAGGCATCACGGTCCAATTCCTGCACACGACCTTCGAGAGCCATGAGGTCGCGCACGGCCGCCTCATGCTTGCGCTGGGCCGCCTCGACGCTGCCAACATCCTTGCCGGTGGCCTCGCTGGAGAGGATGAGCTCACGCTCAGCAAAGCGCGTCAACAGCTCGTCCGCGTCACGCTGAAATTTGTGCACGGCATGAGCACTGCGCAAGGCCTCGCCGCGCAACTCACTCGCCTGCAGCAACTGCTCCCAGCGCTCGTTGAGGCCGTCCCGCTTCTCGGTAATCGCCGGTGTGTCTGAATGCTGGGCGGCAATCAACTTCTCAGCCAGGCTGTTTGCGGTCAGCACGCGTGACTCATTGGCCACGAGATCCTTGTGAAAGTCATCAAATTTCTTCTGCAAAACCTCGTTATGGTCCAAATCTGTGCCCACGTCGGTCTGGGATACGATTGCCACCTTAGAGTTCATCCAAGACTCCACATCCATGGCCTCGCGTACAAATTGAAGCCACTGCTGGCTCTCTTCCAGACGGTGGTGGCGATGCTCGGCAGCCTGCAGAAGATCCTGGTACTGTTGCTCAACGGCCGTTTGCTTGGTCACCACATCATCAAGGCCAGGGGCACCGTCGCTGCGCGCCCCGGCCTCCACTTCGGTGACATAAGAGGCGGGAACAAACCCCGACTGGCCCGAGCGATTCCGCACCTCCAGCCATTCACTGTTGTGCTTACCGACCAGGTAAAAGTGTTCGCCCTTGGTCATGGAAAGCTTGCGATCATCGGGAGCGGAAAAATCGAATAACGCACGCACTTGCACGTCTGCATTCGCGGTGCCGGCCGCTGCTTGCGCCGCCGCCGTTTGACAGGCCTGGCAATCGTCGCGCAAGGCGTCGATGGTCTTTTGGTAGGTGCGAATTTCCGCCGTCAAACCCTCGTGCTTTTTGAGCAAGGTGGAGGCTGTATCCTCATCTTTGCCATAGTTTTCTGAGGCTGCCGCGGACCGCTTTTCAGCAATCCACGCCTCGGCTTCGTTGGCGTCCACCAGATACTGCTGGACAAGAACGGCGTTGGCCAAAGCATCACTGCGGGCTTGTGCCTGTTCGTTGAGGGCCTGCCAGGCTGAAACCAATTCGGTACGACGGCTGCGAATGGCCGCTGCATCCCCGGGTTGTCGGGAGGCCAAGTCGTCGGCTTGCTGCAAAACGGCAGTCAGAGCCTTTTCACGGCCTGCGATTTCTGCGCGCACGGCAGTGTGCTTCTTCTGCAAGTTCTGCACGGCGGTTAGGCTGTTTCCCACCATGGTCGTAGTGACCGAGGGCTCCTTTTCTCGAATCCACGACAGTTCGTCGGCACAATCACGAAGCAGGCGGTGGAGGGCCAAGGAGGCGTCAAGGGCGGTGCGGCGCTGCTCCACCGGCAGGGCCAGCCCGTCGTACTGCTCGCGAATCTGTGTGCGTGCTTGAGAGATTTCAGCAGCATGCAAGTGCTCGGGCACGGCCAACATGGCGTCGGCCTTGGACAACAGCTCCTCGAGGCGTTTATGCTGTCCAGCCACATCGGTTTCCAGCAGTTGGTGGCGCTTGATGAGCTTTTGAACCGCTGTAAGGTCTTTCCCCACGTCTTCAGACTTGGCACCAGCGAGGCTGTCCGCGCACCACGCCAGAAAATCGGCCACACGTCGAGCAAATTCCTGGTAGGCCTGGGCCTGCTTCAAGCGATCGCTCTTGGTGTTGCTCTGAAGCAGCAGGCTCTCCCAAGCATCCTGGAGTGCAGAGGTCTGAGCGGCAATTTCATCCTTGGCGAAATGTCCTTCTGCAACGAGCCGCTGACCGTGGTCGCACACGGCCGTAAGGCGGTTGGCATTGGCGATGACGTCGGCCTCAAAGGTCTCGTGATTCTTAAGCTTGCCACGGAGGTTGGTCAAGTCCTGGTACGAAGGGTCGGCGGCCGTTTTGCCTTTTTCGGAGATCCAGGCCATCATTTCGTTGGCTTCGCGGTTAAACTCCTGAAGTTTGTGTGAGGCCAAGAGAACGGCGCGACGCTCCTGCGCAGCGGTTTCCAGGGCTTGGCGGCGCTGGGCGGTTTCTTGCCGCTTCGCGTCGATTTCTGGAGCGTGGCGATGACCCTCCTTGATAAGCTGTTCTGCACGCGTGACAAGGGCTTGCATCTTGTCAGCTTGTGCCTTGAGACTGCGCTCAAAGTCGTCTTGCTTCTTGAGAAGTTGGTCGACGGCGTCGAGCGAATCGCCAGTATCGTCTGTCTGAAGCATGCGCTGGCGCGACTCGATCCAGGCATTGACTTGCTCAACGTCACGCAGGTACACCTGCAGGCTGAGAGACTCGGAAAACTCCTCAAAGCGGGCCTGCCAGAGCTGGGCAACACTTTCGCGGTTGGCTTCAAGTTGCTGTAGACCCTCCTTGACGCGAGAGGCATCTGGGTGGCCGTTGAGCACGAGCGAATTGCCTAAATCAACCACGTTCTTCAACGTTTCTTCGCGAGCGCGCAACTCATGCTGGCTCTCTTGATGGCGCTGCAAAAGCGTCTCTGCGCCCTGAACATCGTGAGCAACCTCATCGGCTCGAATAATGTTCTCAAGATCGGAGAGGCGAGAGGAAGCCAGACGCAGCTCGCTGTGGAAGCGCTGAAGGTCCCACGCATCGCGCAATGCTTTTCCGCGGTCCTGGGCTTTTCGGTCCAGCGCATCCCAGCGCGTTTGAACCTCCTCGATGCGAGCGCGCACGTCTGCGCCTTGACTTGCGAATGAGCTCGCAAGACGTTGGCCATCAGCCACAAATGCCTCGACCGACTCGTGCAGGGCAGCCAGATCACGCATAAACACCTCATGCTTTCGTTGCAGTGCCTCCACGCCCGAAAGGTCGGTATTACTGATGTCTGAACTCAAAAGGCCATCACGCTCCTTATCTGTGATGCGCAGAAGTAATTCTTGCGCATCACGATTGAAGGAGTGAATTTGCCGCGCATCGGCCAGCTTTTGATGTCGGGTGGCAGCATTTTCCTTGAGCGTTGTCCAGGCCTGGCTGACATCCTGTGATGGGCAATCAAGCGTCGGACACGAATACAAATCGAGGGGGTGCGATGGTGAGCAGGCGCTTGTGCAAAATAGGCATTTAAAAGTGAAAGGGTAGATCATCACAACACACAAACGCCGTCTGTGCTTTGGAAGCTTGTGTCAAGGACAGTGGGTGTGTTTCTTGTGATGATGTCTGTGGCTGGGTTGCCGGGAGGAACCAGAGAGTCAAAATTGAGCAAACGCCAACCTCAATGCGCTGCTTGATTTCGTCGGCGCAGCGATGGCCTTGTTCGAGAAGCGCAAAGCCATTTTCCGAGAATGAATCCAGGCGATTGTCACTAGCTGCCAAATCATTGGTGAAGGCTTCGCTGCGCTTCATCAAGGCATCACACTGATCTAGATCACGGCCATAGTTGGTGTCCTCTGCCGCTGATTTCTGTAGCAATGTAGCAACATCAAGAGTGAGGCAGGGACACGCTCGAGATTGGACCACAAGCAGTCAAGAATCTGCCGTGCGCACGTTCGGGAAGCGAGAACAACAAGTCAAGAAGGACGCCGGCCAGGGAGTCAGATCGCCTTGAACCAACCTTGCTATCAATCCAAGCCATGAGATCATCCGCCTCAGCTTGAAACTGCAACCATTGCGCAAGTTCCTGAAGGCTGCGCTTCTTCAAGTCGGCCTTGTCCAAAAGCAGTTGCCAGAGCTCTTGCAGCGAGTCCAGCTATCAAGACGTCATCGAGAGGAATACAAAGCAGTGAAGCAGCAAAGGGTCAAAGAAATGGGTCACAAGCGAAGCGCGCGCAGCATGGTCATTGGTATCCTGATTTGAAGACTAACGCGTGCTTCAACAGTCTGCTTGCCGTGATGATCCGGCTTGCGCACAAACTCGTCGCCTTGTGATTTGAGAACAGCCAAGGAGTTCTCGTTAGCCTTGACCTCGGCACAAAAAGCCTCATGCTTCTTGATGCGTGACTGCAAGCAAACAGCGGTGAGGCCAAGGCCCGGTTCCAACCAGGCTCCGTCGCTGAGGCGGGGTGGACGGGCAGGCAGGCAGGCACGAACCTCGATGTTGGCGTGGTCATCAAAGACGTTGTCTTGTGTGGCATTGAGCTTTTCTTCAATCCAAAGCTCAAGCTCGTCAGCATCGCGAGTAAATTGCTGCAAGCGCTTCTCGTACTCAAGTTTGGCACGCTGCTGAGCGGCCACCACTTTGAGATCATTCCAGCGCTCGAGCACGCGGGACCGACGCTCCGCGATGGCATCCACAGTGCTCAGCAGCGAGGTGTTCTGGTAAAAAGAAAATGCAATGGAAGGGCAGGCGAACGTGAGATGGGGCGAGTGCATGAATCTCAACTCAAAAGGCCGTGATCACATGAGCAGACGGTGAGATGCAGCAGGGTCCCTATTGCTTCGATGGAGCGAGGAGCGACGGCCATAGCCAACAGCCAACCTTTTGCCACTTGTCGCCGCCATTGGCAGCATCGCTGGGTGCCTGCAAAGTCCATTCAGCAACAGCAAAGATCGTGAGACCATGAAAGGGCGTGCTGGCATTTGTCGCCCCATCCATCAAGAGGAGAGCCAGCCTCTGATTCCCGCAACCAGCATCAAAACAGCCAGCTCGGCTGCAGTGCCACAAAGAGCGACAGAGAACGACCTTCCACTCCAAAACAATACCCTCATCCACTGCCCCTTGTGGACCATCAGGTCCAACTTTAATCCATCAACCTGAACAATATCACACACGCCAACCCACGACCAACGCTACCCCCGTCCCTTCGACCAAATACACGCAGCTCAGCTGCCACTGACCGCCATGCTGCCACCGTGCCAGCGGAGCGAGAAGGCAAAATGTTGATGATGATTTACAGCACCACAAAACCAAAAGAGAAAGAGACGTAAAGGAACAAAACCAAAAGAAAATTTCCCCCTTCCTTTTTTTCGTGGTTGACGGTTAGGAGAGAGGTGGCTCGAGCCATTGCAAACGAGAATGGTTCTGGTACGCGACGCCAAGGGAGTGGTTTGCGCTTGTAGGCAGTCATGAGATGCCCTCCCCCAATGGGCATTCACCCCGATGTGCAATAGCCCCATCGCGACGGCCAGACGCCCTGTGCGCCGCCATTTTTCTCCACCAACCACCAAGTTGATCAAATCTCCCAAAAAGTCACCGGCGTCATTTTGTCTGACAAACGGGGTGGTGTCGGTGTACCAAGATAATTTGTGACCCCAGTCCTTGGTGACGACCCAAAGCTGCGGACAGTTCGTTTTCGTTGTTCGGCTGACGCTTTGCGGCGCTTCCCCGCCATTATCAAATTCGCATCCCCCCCTCCTGCCGGCTCTTCTGTACTTGTGTATCAGGACTGAGGATTACCTTCTTCTTCTTTTTTGTTTTTCTCGAGGGATATCTGCCTGGTGTTTGTTTACCTGGCCTTGCTCTGGTGTGCTGCTCAAGGTGGAAGAGCAGTCCCTACGAAGAGATCGGCTTGTTCCTGCTCTTCACCTTCTCCAAGCGCGCCTCAGATCCATCTTCTTGATTGCCAGCCATCATGGCCAAAAAGAAGAAGGCCTCGAAGAAAGGGGCTGATGGCGGCAAGAGCAAGGATGCCAAGGCTTCCAGGTCTGCCAGCACCCACCACACACACACACACCGTTGGACTGTACTCTTCTCCCCCTCGACTTGCCCTTTTGCACTTCTCACCTTTTCCAACTCTATGACCCAACTCTTCCCGTAGTGAGGCGACGCCAGCCGTCAACCCGCCGAGCAAGGAGGAGCAGCTCTGGGCCGCTCGCTACATGATCAGCGAGCAGCAACGCCGTTCGCACATGTCCAATGCCTCGCTTCTTGTCAAAGCAAACGCCTCTCTAGAGGAGCGCATGCAGGAGGTCAGTTGGCTCTGCTAACATCCTGTCACTGGCTGCCAAATGACTCGCTCATTTGCCTGGCCGACCGTTGGCCCTGCTACAATAGACCGAGCGTGACACCATCGAAGTCGTTGCCTTTCTGCAACGAGAGACGGCTCAGCTCAAGGATGAGCTACGCGCTGCCAAAAACGCCCTCAAAGATGTGAGAGTTTTGTTTTCCGGCACGCTTCACCTTGATGCATATGCCTCATCCTTGACAACCCTTTGCGCCTCTATGATTCTCGACCTTCGATTGTGCTAGGTTCAACTAGACGCGCAGAAGCAGGTGGACCGCATCCGAGACGAATATGACGCCAAGTTAAGCGCCATGGAACAAGATGTCCATGACAAACAGCTACAAATTTCGACACTCAATAGCGAACTTCAAGCCGTCAAGGTTTTCCGACAACAACGAAATGCCATGGAGCGCGAGGTTCGGGAGCTTCGGCAGCAACATGACAAGCTGGCCGCTGACTACGCTCTTCGCATGCAACAAATGCAGACCAAGTACCTGGAAGAGAAGGTATTCTGTTGCTCGCGAGTGCATGCCAGGCGCACGTCTCGAACACACGTTTCGAACGCCCCACAGCTCATCCCCTACTGTGTCTTGCTCAGGCTCGCCAACAACAACTGCACGAGGAACAGCTCCGGGAGTTGACCCACCGTGCTCATGATGCCGCTGTCCGGTTTGTCCTGCTTGCCGTGCACTGCCCCCATACCCTGCTTGGTGCCGCTCTGATTTGGCCATATCGATGGTACGCGCCCCGCCGAAACAGGAGCCTCGATGTGTCAACCAAGTCGATGTATGAGGATAACCTGCAGCTGGAAAAGGCTGTCAAACTTCACATGCAAGAGGCCAAACAACTCAAGCAGGTAGGCGTAGCAGCCCATGCCGGAACGTGGCATGGCTTCCGTCATGATCCTTAGTCCTTGGTCATGGTCCTTGGTCATGGTCCTTGGTCATGGTCCTTGGTCATGGTCCTTGGTCATGGTCCTTGGTCATGGTCCTTGGCCATGGTCCTTGGCCATGGTTCTCGGTCATAGCCTCGCCGTGTCTTTCCCCGGGTGGTCCTGCTAGCTTGGCTGACCCAAAGCGTGGTGCTTTTGACGCGTTCCCACACGCACTTATGTAGGTAAATCGCCAACTCAAGGAAGATCTACAAGCACAGACCTCGGCAGCCGAGGAGTACCAAGGACAAGCGAGCGAGGCGCAGGCCAAGCTCCACCGCCTCACACGAGCCCACGACGAGCAACAAACAAAGATTACGGAATTGGAGAACACGCTGACCAACACCATGCAAGAGCTTGCCGACTCTCGTGATGCTCATAAAGCATCCGAGTCAGTTGGGGCCCTTGAGCACCAGTGAGTTGCCTGCCAACTGGCCCGCCACCTCAACGCCGTGCTGCGGCCCAACTCGTCTCATACCCTCGCTTGTCTCGCTTTTGACGGACGTGACTTTGCGCTAGAACCAAACTGGATGCAGCCCAACAGGCCTTGAATATCAAACAGGCCGAGCTGAAGCAGATCAAAACGCTCGCGCGCAATTTGCTCCACCAGCGCACAGAGGTGGAACAGTTCTTCTTAGAGTCCATAGCGCTTGTCAAGGAGGAGATCAAGCAAGCTCGCATCGATTATCTCAGGGTCAGAACTGCAGCGCTTGATGTCCAGAGCTTGGGCGCTGAGCGTCCTCTCGGTTGTTTTTTGATTCTTTTTTCTTTTTTTCTTTTTCTTTTTGACAAGACAGGGGATGGATCCTCGTTGATAACTGACGCCCGATTGCTCCTCTTTGACGTAGGCCAACAAGCGCACCACACTGCCCTCCATCCACCCTGACCGGTACGGTGCTCTGCCTGCTCAAGAAGCCAGCTTTTGCCGTTCGGCGCTAGCGAAGCGGTTGGCCTGCTGCCGAAGGCCCGATTCCCGTTGCTCATGGCTAATCTTGTTGGTGACCCGCGACGTAGACGAATCCGTGAAGAGTTTGAGGCGGCGGAAACGGTTCCAGAACATATTCTCAAGGTCGACATCAAGACCATGACGTGGGAACAACGTCAACAGGTCCTCAAATACCTGCTGGCCAAGATCAACGGCGCCTCGGACGCCAAGCAAAAGTTAGCTTTGCCACAGATTCCGCCTGATATGATCATGCATTTTGCTGCACCTGTGTTATTGTGGGGTCTTCGGGCAACTTCCAGACTGGCCATGACGAGATTGAAAAACTTATGCGCTGTGCCCGTGTGTCTCTTAGAGCGGCTGAACAGCGACGGGAGCGGGAGCGCGTCAATTCTGGGCGAGCACGCTCGCATCGGGAAGGGTCGGGTCGCTCACAACTCAATGCCACTGCCCCCCAGCTTGCACTGCCTACGGGCTCCGGGAGCCGTGCTGCTGAACCGCAAGCAAGTGACGCCTCTGCGGCCAGTTTCTTCCTGACTGACCTGGCCGTATAGGAGAGGACGAGTCGATGGGCTCGCGCGCTCTTCTAATTTTCGGCTCTTTTTTTTTCCCTCGATCTCCCACGTGTAAAAGGCAGACGGGAAGGCTTCGAACCGCTGCGCGGTCGGCCTTTCCTTTGCACCTGCCTCATTGGTTGTGCGCTTGGTTGGTGCTCACAAGCACCCGTGTTGAGATGTTCTTGTTGACGTCACTGTGGCAGAACTCGGAGATGCCCAGTATGTCAGTCAATTAAGCGGCTCAATATTGTCGTATATGTGTGACCGGCAAAGCCAAAGGCGAAACGATGCCTTTGACGTCGCCTGTCTGAGAAATCATCACCAAGGCTGCACGGCAGGGGTGACTTGCGGCCAAGAGCGCTCAGCGCTTCACTGGCAAAGGTCGAGGTTGGACTTAGAACGAATCGGGGTGGTGGAATGATGTCGGAATGTGATACATGCCTTCCTGCAGCATGGACTCCCGGTTGGCAACGAGTGTGGGCCCAAAGGCCGAGGGATGGAGCTGAGCTGTCAAGGCCAGCTGGTAGACACTCAGCGGGGCGTTGTTTTCGCCGGCAGCGGCAAAATCAAGGCGATCGCGCGAGCACAGCGCCTTGTCCAAAACGTTTTTTATAAACAACTGTGGTTGGGGAGGGGGCAACGAAGCACAAGAAGGCGAATGAACAGAACGAGATCCCACAGGGAAGTCTTGTCTGATTCGAGACAAAAAAAATTTGAACGGGTAAGCGCATACCTCCATGCCGGCCTTGACACTCGCAATGGCACAATCAGAGACCTCTATGATGCGAGGCAGGGCCAGTAGGGGTTGGGTAACCAAGACTCAACGTGAGAGCAAGACAGCGGCTTAGGACCGAGCATGAGCATGCTTGCTCGCGCTCCAATAAGTCGTGTGATTCCATTCCCTTTGCAGCGTGTCGGTCAGGTGAGGCGTACCATTAAGGCCAGCTTCAGCGGCGTACAGGACCACCTGTGCACCAACGCCAGCGCGGCTGAGGGGATTTTGACTCGCAAGCAGGGAGGTATTGAGGAGTGTGTTCAAGGCTTCCGGGGTAAGCTATGGGTATACACAGCGGTCGGATGGCGACAGAAAGCTTGTAAGCCCCCAGAGCGCTCAGCAGCTTGGTGATGGTGGTGGATGTCTCGACATCGCTCCACTCCAAGAAATAGCATGGGCGCGCCCATACCTCGAGTAGGTTGAGTTCACGCAGAGACTCCACTAGCATGGGTGGTCGCCAGGCCTGGGCGGCCTAGTTTGGACAGCGAGAAGCATTGAGCGGCGGATGCGAGGGTCACATGGAATCAGCGCGAGGGGCAGAGATCCCTGCACAAAAGGCAGACGCGAAGAGCCTGACCTGTTGTGCAAGCGCTTCTTCCTCGGCAGCATCGCGGGCCTCGTGGTCAGCCAGATGGGCCAGAGAGGTGGGCATGACATTTGGGCTTTCTATCGCCTCTTGCTGATCCAGGAGAGCCAGGATGTACTCATTGTGGAGCGCGACCAGCAAGGGAGACTCGCCCACAAATTCACCGATCTGCTCGGACCAGGCCTCAGGGGACACCTACGTGCATTTTGGCACAGTGATGAGATCAAACATCTTCCCAAACGTCCAGGCTCAACCCTGGTACATCGAAAGCAGGCCCAGCGAGCGCTGTGACCGGCTCAGACCCTGGACAACCCTTGTTGACCGTTAGTTATGTCAGGCACGGAAACAGGACACCTCGCTGCTGTGCTACTCGGGGCAACAACAGAACAGGAGCCAGGGCCCCTTGCCTCGCTCAAGCTCACCTGACCGTGCAGAAAGCCGGCGACCAGTTGGCTGTAGTTTTCGTAACGCGAGCCAAAGGCCGTTTGCAGGCGCATTGTCAGCTCCTCGAGTCCGGGCATGACGATGGCTTCCCTCTGGGCCAAGGATCAAGAAATCTTGTTAAATATCCCTCTTGTTATACCCCTATAAACAGGCTGACTTCTTTTGCACATTTACAGCAGAGTTGCTTGTCAGCAAGAATGGTTATTGTGTACCAATCTTCGCACTTTCACCGTGAGCCAAAAGAGCCAGCGAGGACAATGACAGCTGGTAGCATTATCCATGTCATCATCATCATCATCATCAGAGCAAACCAATGAGAAATGATGTCGGCTTGGACAACAAAGAAAGCAGAGACTCCTTCATTCCAGATTCTTTTGTTCTCTCTGTGTGTGTCTTTCTCTCTGTTTTATTTTCTTTTTTTTTCCCCTTTGACTCTGGGTCTGCCTGAGTCGATCCAGCTGGTATGTGTGCGTGTGTGCGGCTGACCTGACCTGTTCATCGGCAAATGGGCTGCCACATATGGCAGCTTGGGCCGCCAAGTTATGACCTGGCGTTGTCGCGTTGTCGCGTGCAAGCCATGGCTTTTGTGTCTGTTTTGGTGCATGAGGGGTAGAATGCAAACGCGATGCCGTTGTCGTTGTTTTTCCCGTGAAACGGGCAGGGTTGATGCATTCAGACCGCACGCCCTCTAAAGGTGGAGCGAGTCGCAGTGTCGGGGCGTGGCCCTTGGTCCACACACTCGTGATACCAGGGAGCTCTTCGCCGGACGGCATTTGTTGGTCGCGTGTCTCTTTTCTTTCTTGTGTGTGTGTTTCTTTTCCTCTCTTTGTGTGCGTGCCTGTGTGTTTTGAATGTGCGTGATGCCTCCGCAGTTGGCACATTGCCCTGCCAGCTGCCCCTCGCTCTTGACCCGCGTCAGGCTCTTTTGGTGCTTTGTTGTTTTTGAACATGAGTGCTTCATGTTGCTATCTTCTTTTTTGTCCTTTGGTGTTGCCCTGGCTCACCCGCGCCTCATGCTCTGCGCGAATGTCCTCTGCAGATTTTTGGCTCAACCGTCGATCATGGCTTCCGAAGACGTTGTTATCAAGCAAGGCTGGCTGCTGAAGCGCGGTATGTGCATCCTTTGACCTCCTCGTCCTCCTCCTTCTCCTCCTCCTTCTCCTCCTTCTTACACAACACACCAGTTTGACCAGACATGCTTAGCGCTCGGGCCATATCTCACCTCACACCATTATCATCAGGCGAATACATCCGCAACTGGCGCCCTCGCTGGTTCCAGCTCAAGTCAGACGGCTCTTTCCGCGGGTACGGATTTTGCCTCGGGCGTCTTGGCACCTGTTGTCTCTTGGCTTTCTCACCCTGCCATCAAATGGCATTTGATGAACCAACAGCTTCAAGACTGGTCCGCCTCAACCGGGGGATGGCCCCGTCAACTTTTTCGACCTGGCTGGTAAGCAAGAAACTGCTGCTTGCTTGCTCTGGCTTTTTTTTTTGCATCTAACTCTGTTGGATGTCACTCTTTCAAGGCTCCACGCTCGCCAAGACGGACGATGGCAAGCCCCCAGGCTCCAAGGGCAAGAAGTACGGGTTCATGATTCGGTATGTCTGCAAAATCAGTTTAGCTGCATGTGCGCTGCCGCACGCCCTGTCCTGTCCATGCCTTGTCTTTACTCTCCCTTCTCCCTTCTCTCGTCTCTGCTCTCCTTCGGGCTCAATATCCCATTTGCCCTTCTTTATTCTTCTCGCAGCTTCATGCAAATGACGCGCTTTGTGGAACGTTCCTTCCATCTTGAATCAGAGGAAGAGCGTGATGAATGGGTCAAGGCCTATGAAGTGGTGCGTTCTCACCTTTCCTTCTTCCATCAATCCCCCTGCAGCCGTAGCCTTTTCTTCTGACGGATTGCGCGCCTTTAGGTCAAGTCCAAGCTGCAAGACACGGTCGCCAAGCGCGTCGAGGCTTCGGGTGGCCAACCCCTGAGTACGTTTGCGTGGCATCTATGTGCAGCCCAGCTGGACTTTCCAAAGGCACCTGTTTCTCACTTGACACCATCCTCCGTCTTTGGTGCGCCCCTTCTTAGGCACGCGTGACGTGACGATTGATGACTTTGACATGCTCAAGGTGTTGGGCAAGGGCACATTCGGCAAGGTCATGCTGGCCAAGGACAAGTCAGACGGCGAGCTCTACGCCATCAAGGTTCTCAAGAAGGAAGTCATTCTTGAGAAGGAAGAAGTCGAGCACACCATGACTGAGAACACCGTCCTTCAGTCAACGAACCACCCCTTTCTGACGAGTACGTGCCTTGTCCACCCGGTCTCATTGTGTGCTTTTTCTAGCTCGCTTGCGCGAATGATTGCACTGCGTAGACTCACTCGTCACCTGCCCCTCGCGCTACCCTTGCCCGGCTGGCCTTGCCTCGTTTCAGCCTTGAAATACTCATTCCAGACCAACGAACTCTTGTGCTTTGTGCTTGAGTACGTCAACGGTGGTGAGCTTTTCTTCCATCTGAGCCGCGAAAAGGTCTTTGAGGAGGAGCGGGCCCGCTTTTACGCCGCAGAGATCTGCTTGGCTGTGGGGTACCTGCACGCACACAACATTATCTATCGCGATCTGAAACTTGAGAACCTTCTCCTGGATAAGGCCGGCCACATTAAGATCACTGATTTCGGCCTTTGCAAGGAGGAGATGAGCTACGGCACCACCACAACCACTTTTTGCGGAACTCCTGAGTACTTGGCTCCGGAAATTCTCGAGGACAACGATTATGGCCGTGCTGTTGACTGGTGGGGCCTGGGTGTCGTCATGTACGAGATGATGTGCGGACATCTTCCCTTTTACAACCGCAACCACGAGGTCCTCTTTGACCTCATCCTCCACGAAGAAATTCGGTATGTCCTATTATATTGGGTGTTGTGTATGGCTGTGAGCTCGGCACGAGGCGCGCTTGGCCTCCACGGCACGGTGCTCCCATTTCTTTCCCACGACACTCACTCACTCACTGACCAATATTTACCTCCTCATCTCAGCCTGCCCGACAACTTGAGCCCAGCGGCCAAGGACATTTTGAGCAAGATGCTGGACAAGAACCCACTGACTCGTCTGGGTGGTGGTCAGCGTGACATGGAGGAGATCAAGGAACACCCCTTCTTCGAGAGCATTGACTGGGAGAAACTGTACAACCGCGAGCTGCCCGTGCCGTTCAAGCCTCAAGTTAAGGACGAAACCGATGTGAGCAACTTTGACCCCATGTTCACGGCCGAGCCGGCACAGGTCAGCCCCACCGAAGCCTCCACCCTGAATGACGAGGCTGCATTCGCCAACTTCGAGGCCGGACCCAAGGCGTAATGGTCGGGCACAAACTCGTGGGCCACCACAAGCATTGTATGCGCTGCATAAGTGTGTTCTGCGTTTGCACTTGTGTCTTGTCCAGCCGCTTCATCTTGATCAGCCCACTTCACCGCTTATCGTGTTGATGAAGGCTTGGTGTTGAGGTGGCTGTGCGCCGTCTTGGCTCAATTGTTGTTGGTTGGGTTTTTTCTCTACTTTTTAATGTTCTCTCTTCTTCCTTGTGACATGTGCTCGTGCATGATCTTGTTACTGCTCCTGTCCTAGTTGTTTTAGTCATTCATGTTGGAGGCCGAGCTTGTGCTGACCTGTGTCTCTTTTTCTCCTCTGCTTGTGCGCTCTACTCTTAATCAACACCCTGGGCATTCAGGTGGCTGCGCTGTTTCCCTGACTATCTTTTTTTTTTTTTCTTCTTCTTCTCGCAATCACTTCGTCTCGAGACCACAAAACCAAGGCGGTGCCATGGGGTTGTCCTCCAAAGCCCAAGGCTTTGAAACACAACAGACAGAACCAAGCGCGCACGGGTGTTATGGGGTTTGGGTGTCATAAATGAACTGCTATCACTCTAGCGTCGTGCCACACCTCCATACGGCCGCAGAAACCAATGTTACATGACAACTGAAAAGGTGGCGCATCAAACCAAACGCAACTCGTGAAGCAATCATGATATCTCTGGATCACCTCATGTTTGTCTAAGCTTTCTACTTTCAAAGAAGGATGCAGCAGCCGCCGCTGCTCTGGGACGATTGCCCACCGCCCGAGATCAAGGGTTGTTTCTCCTCCCTGAAAACATACGACAGAGAGCAATGCTGTGAGCAAGGGCACGAGCAGGTCTAAGTTCATGAGGAACAAAATGCTGTTATACCGTGCTTGTTGCGGTGCTTTGTGGGCGTCTGATGAGTAGGCCGGTTCGCGCTGGGCGGGAGTCGTCGCCTAAGAAGAAAAACAATATATTTGAGGAGAGAAGCGCAGCTAGTCCTCACCATTTCACAGGTATCTGCGCACACCCACACATCCCTTGCCTCACGAGAACAAACCGGAATAGCTGCAGGAGCTGGCACAGGGCCGGGTGACAAGAGCGGGTGATCCGACGTTGAGGCAGGTGCGGCTTTGGCTGCAATGGACTCCTCTGCGGCAGCAACCGGCTTATTCTCGGCAGCCTCGGCTTTGGCACGTTTCTTTTTTGACTTGGAAGCCTTTGGAGCCGCTTGCGTCGCAATCACTTCCTCGGCCGCCGCCACGGGCTTCTCCTCGGTCTTGGCCACGGGCTTCTCCTCGGGCTGCTTTGCAGTCTCGGCAATCACCTCCTCAGCCGCCGCCACAGGCTTCTCCTCAGTCTTGGCCGCAGGCGTCTCCTCGGGCTGCTTCTCAGTCTCGGCAATCGCTTCCTCAGCCGCCGCTACAGGCTTCTCCTCGGGCTGCTTCTCTGTCTCGGCAATCGCTTCCTCAGCCGCCGCCACAGGCTTCTCCTCGGGCTGCTTCTCAGTCTCAGCAATCGCTTCCTCAGCCGCCGCCACAGGCTTCTCCTCGGGCTGCTTCTCAGTCTCGGCAATCACCTCCTCAGCCGCCGCCACAGGCTTCTCCTCGGGCTGCTTCTCAGTCTCGGCAATCACCTCCTCAGCCGCCGCCACAGGCTTCTCCTCGGGCTGCTTCTCAGTCTCGGCAATCGCTTCCTCAGCCGCCGCTACAGGCTTCTCCTGGGGCTGCTTCTCAGTCTCGGCAATCACCTCCTCAGCCGCCGCCACAGGCTTCTCCTCGGGCTGCTTCTCAGTCTCGGCAATCACCTCCTCAGCCGCCGCCACGGGCTTCTCCTCCACTGCGGCCTGAATGCAAGAAATGGACATCAAGTCAGTATGACCCAGCAACTAGCCTTGGCAAATTGCAGATTGCCAAAAGCATGGCTTTCAGGAAAGGCTTACAGGCACAGCAGGCGAAGCCGCAGCTGAAGTGTCTATCGAAGAGAACCAAGAATCAAATGGATCATGAGATCAACGCCTTGGACCAAAAACGGGATGCCAAAACTTGGGATAGCTCGGCATTGTGCTCTGCATCGCCAGCATAAGGTCGGTGAGCAATCAGCCACGTACTGTTGGAGGCTTTCTTCTTGTCTACTCAGGAAGCACGTTCACATGCCCGGGCGGTGGTGTCGAGCAAACACAAGTCACAAAAAATCGCGATAAGATCAGCCAATGCTGCACGACATCAGACAGTTGTGCTGCCTGATCGGCCGTGGTGCGATCAGCAGGCACACGCATGGAACAACCACAAGCAGAGACACATACTGCTCTTGTTCTTGTTGTTACTTTTCTTCTTCCCCTGAGGAATGGACATCACGGGTCGACAGACACATGCACGACACAGGTGAGCCAAGCCTATCCAGCACCAGTGCCGACTATTCATCCTCCCTCTCCACCTGCATGATCCGCCACTGCCGCACTCTTTGAGCACAAGCGCAAGCCACCTACCATGTTGCCGGTTCAATCTTGATTCGAAAAAAATAAGGGAAAGAACACACGTTAAGCGAGATGGCACACGTTGTGGCTGAAAAAAAAATTGTGAAACGTGTTGATTGTCACACATGTGTGTGTGGCTCAGCTTCTTGCTTTTAACGATAAAAAAATAAAAAAGGGTGAAAAGTCAAAAAGAATCGGGTTGGTGATTTGGATTTGTTCATTCGGGCAGTGGGTCTCTAGATGGCTTAGGAAAGCTCCAGGTCACGGCTGGTGACTGCTGCTATGGTGTGTATAATCAGAGCCAATCAGCGAGGATTGAGACGTCGACACCACAGATATCTTTCACCCCGGCGTCCCAAGCCGGCCAGACATTGGTTGGGGTAAGCGGATAAGCAGGAGTCGCAGGCCATTCCACTGCCGACAAATCGAGCAGACCCGCAGGCAAGGTCCGATCTTGACCGCTAAAATGCACATTTGCAACACCGTAGCGCTGAGCCACTTGGTGTAAGAGCCGTGGCAAGGTCAGCCACACGTGCGGTGCATACACCGGAAGGGATGTGGAAGCTGCCAAAGCCAGGGGCAAGAACGCCAGTGCCCCAGCGGATCCCGGTAGCAGCCAGCCTTGTGCAGCGCGTGATTCCGCACGTTGAGCCAAGGCCACCTGCAAGCAGGACCTACGCCGCCACATCCGAGATTTCATGCAAGTGAAAGTGGTATGCACACCCGCCTACGCAAGCAGCTGCGGTCTAGTTTCTGTCACGAACCGTAGGTACTCTGCCTGATTCAGGAGCCAAATGTCATGAAAGCCAAGCGTCGCATGCCAGCCACACATACACCCTAATGCTGTGTCCATCGCATTGACAAATCAGCAAGAAGCGTCGACAGGTGTCAGTTCACCCCACAAAGAAGACTTGAGCAAAAACACACGGAGCGGCCCTGTGGCAAATCGAACCAAGCCCATCCTGGCCCACCAAGGGCTCGAGCGTGTAGTTGTCATGACACAGTCGAAGCTCCAAGGGCGCTGGGCCCTGCACGGGGAGCAAATGGCTAAAAAATAAGCACATTCGCCAGTGACGCCGCACGTAGGTTTTGTCTGCGGGGCGAGAGAAGGCACAGCCAGGTTTGTTTGGTTTTTAGTTTGTGCAGCTCAGCAAATCAACCCCCACGGAAAAGAAAGAGCACCTTGTGGCAAGCGCATATCCAAAACGCGTGAGCCAAGCTGCAACCGCCATGTGACGGCGATACAATCGACACTCGCTCCCTCCAAAACATCCTAACAGCGGAATGAACATCAGCTGCTTGTGACACAAGGCATGATTGACCAAAAACTTGACAGGTCGCAATGGACGCACCAGCTTCAACAGCGCCGAGGAATTCCGCTCGGGGAGCGGGCGCCTAATCGACATTGGCATGGCGTAGATAGCACCGCATGAGCTAGACCTTGACAGATTATCGATGGCGGTTCGCTGACCTCCCGCTGATCTGGGTTGATGGTGACCACAACCAACACAAGAAAAGTCATACCCAAAGTCAAAATGCAGTGCGTCAGCCCAGGCCGTGCGGACGACGGCGTGCTGATGAAACTCGTCAAGAGTGAGTTCAAGTGGTGCAGCTGATCCGTTGCAAGGTGTATCAGGAAGGTCGAGAGAGCCCATTTGAGGGATTGGAACATGACGTAGACTATAGTGGCTATGAGCTAGTGGGCAAGATACACCGGCAGCCATGACCGTGGCCGAGGCCGGGACCACGATTGCGTCTGGCGCTGCAAGGCGGGCGAGCGCATCGTTCATTGTGTCAATCACGCCTTCGCCCAACAGGGCCGAGTCAAAAATCTCCATGACCACAATGTCTGCGGGCCGCAGCAAACCTAAATTGCAGCGAGCCGTGAGGTCTCAAACTGCGACTCGCAACCAAGACAAATACCAATTGCATGAAAAGTGCTGATGTGGCCAACGTACGACTGGTGTCCACATCGGTGCTGCGATCACAGATCAAGACAACGCGGTCTTCCATGTGATTCTGACGGATCATTTGCTCAGCTAACATTTGCATGGGCTCAAAGACCTAGAGGTATGTCAAGCAGGTAAGCGGGTCCGTCCTGCACAATGTGATCTGCGGGGAAGAAAGAAAAAAAGGAGGAATTCAAGGCGAGGAAAGGGCCTTGAGCCCGAGCAGGCCGTAGCTGGGACACGACAGACCTCACACGCATACACAACAGCAGCCCCTAACTGGGCGGCCATCAAAGCTAGAATTCCTAGACCGAGCTCATGGGCACAGGCACGGCGATTTTAGCAAGCTGCGGTGACGCTGGGACAAACTGGCGTTTGCTTGCCCGAGGGCACAAGTGAGGCTAGTCCTCAACCAATTGAAGCAACACACCTGTGCCGGTCCCAATGTCCAGGACTACGGGGTCTGGGCGCGGGCAGTCGGCAATGGCTTCCTTCAGGGCCTCGTAGTAGACCTGATTCCTCTCTGAATCCAACAGCATATCCCCGTAACCGGACTCTCGCACCATTTCGCGGTACCGCTCCAACTGCTCCTCGGGCGACTCATCTCCGTCGTTCGCCTGCAGTGGAGCCAGCACCGGAAGGCCGGCCATGGTGTGTGCGTACGACGCTATCAGCACCGAGCCCTGATCTGTTTCACTTTAAACAAAATCGATTTGTCAGCACCCAAGTCTTTTTTCGGAGACACTTTTTCACCTGTTCATCGAGACAACTTCGGTCACGTACCAAGTGTCATCCCTTATGGTTTTACCGTTGAGATTCGTTCTTCCGTTACAATTTCCGTTGCATTTTCCTTCTCCTCAACGGTGAGTCCCCACCCTTCCTCATTCCTCGCATGCGCTGCCATTTATTGATGCGTGAACCATCTCACCTTGCCTTTCTTTTCTTTGCGTGCAGCCATTATGGCGACTCCTTCTCCGGTGTCTTGTGCAATCTGCAACATGCTTGTCTCGGATTCCAATGAGCAACGCCATGTTCAAACGCACCATTCCACTCCACCCGATCTCCGCCGCCCTTCCGAGTGCTTTCCTTCTCTGAACTGGATTGACTGTCCTGCGCCAGGATGTGTGTGCTCAATGCGCAAGGGCGATCC